TCAGTAAATAAGGAGACTGAAGCCCAGAGGGTAGGATGGCCACCTAGACTCTGCGTTCTTTGTCACCCACTGCCCTCTTTCCTGGAGGACCTTTGAAGGCTCATGTTAATCTTAGGAGGCCCTCTTTGAGGAAGGTCACCCAGAGCCACCCTTTGATCCTGCAGCCTGTCTGGGCCACCTATTACAGCAATCCTAGGCCACCTGGGCTGGAGGAGCAGCCTGGAGGAAGAAACCAGGACAGGAGCCAGACACCTGATCAAGTGTCTGGGAAGGCTTATCATACTTTTCAAACCAAAGTCAGTAGGAAAAGAAACAGTATAGTTCAAAGGTTAATGTCAAGTTGGAGCCAGAAACACACGTTCCTGTTTTTGCCAGAGTCCTTAGACCTCAGGACCCTTCTTTGCAGACACAGAGGGGCAAGCAAGAGCATGTAGGGGTTGGAGGTGTAGCTCAGTGGCACAGCTCCTGCCTGGCAAGCGCGAGGTCATGAGTTCTATTCCCAATACCCCTCCAAAGACAAAAACAAAACCAACCTTGCAGTAGTAGTTACGTTTCTTTGTAAATGTGTTTATGGGGCTGGGGATATAGCTCAACAGCACAAGTGCCTGCCTGGCAAGCACAAAGTCCTGAGTTTGATTCCCAGTGCAAAACAAAAACAAAAACACAAAACACTGCATATGTGTTTATGGTCTGCTTCTTCCCTGCCCTATCCTTGTGACCACATACACATAGACTGCCTGTAATGGGACTCTCTTATAGGCACATGACTTCACCGGTACATAATAAACACTCAATAAATGCCTATTGAACTAGAAAAAAAGGACATCATTTCCCTAGAAGGTGGAAGACCTGACATGTTCCAAGTTAGCAATACCTCCAGAGTTTTTTTTGTCTTTTTCCTTTTTATTGGTACCGGGGATCGAACTCACGACTGCCTGCTTTCAAGGCAGGCGCTTATGCCGCTGAGCTAAACCCCCAGCCCCACCTCCAGAGTTTAAACATTCTAACGCTCAAAGAGCAAAATGATTTTTTTAAATAATTTTTTTGTTTTGTTTTGTTTTTATCCGTATTGGGGATCGAACTCACGACCACACGCTTGCAAGGCAGGCGCTTACACCGCTGAACTAAATCCCCAACCCCAAGCAAAATTATTTTAAAAATTTTTTTGCTAGCACTTAGTATTTATTTGCATAATTTCAAGGAAATGCTTTTGAAAGCTGTTGATAGCAGCCAGGCATGGTGGCCCATGCCAGCTCCCAGGAGGCTGACAAAGAAGGATGGCAAATTTGAGCTCAGCCTGGGCAACTGAGCAATTTAGTGAGATCCTGCCTCAAAATTTAGAAAAAAAAAAAAAGGTATTTAGTTCAGTCTGAAGACCCTGAGTTCAATCCCTAGTACTGAAAAAAAAAGTTAGTAATAACAGATGCACAAGCTTCAGAAAACCACACCACAGGGGCACATCTAGTGAGGCTGCCTTCCATTGCTGCCTTTTGGGGTCTCTGAGTTTGATCAGTCAATTGGCTGATCCTTGAAAATGTATTGTTTCCCAAGTTTTTATGTTAGAGATGATTCTTAAAGTTAGAACACCAGATCATCAAGGAGTACTAACAGAGTGACTCCATGATTGACCATGTTCTCCAGGACCCGTGGCACAACCTTCTTAAGAAACTTTTTTATAGTCTAGTAAAGTACACCTAATATAAAATTTACCATTTGAAACAGTATTAAGCATATACTTCTGCGGTGCTAAGTACACTAACATTGTTATGCTGTCATCATCACCATTTAAGCACATAACTCTTTCCGTCTAAATAATGACTCCCTGTCTGTCTTCCCAGGCCCTGGAAATTCCTCCTGCTTTCCATCTCTGAATTTGGCTAGTCTGGGTAATTCACATACATGGACTCAGAGTGTTTATCCTTTTGTGACTCATTATATAGCCTAGGTTGGCCTCACACTCACAGTGAGCCTCCTAACTAACTCTTCCTAAATTCTGGGTTTTAGGCACGCTTTACTACTCCTGGCTTTATACTTTGGGATACAAAATCACTGGATCTTGGTATGATGGTATGAGCCTGTAATCCCAGCTACTAGAGAGGCTTGGGCAAGAAGATTACAAGTTTGAGGACACTGGGCAATTTCACAAGACTTTGTCTCAAAATAAAATAAAAAGCACTGGGGATATAGCTCAGTGGCTAGCTGAGTCCAGGCAGTGCTAGCCTGTGGGAGGCCCTAAATTCAATCTCCACTATTTTAAAAAGAAACTGGGGTAAACTGAGGTAGTTTGGGGAGTTTATTTATTCATAGACTGCTGAATGTAATAATTGAGGAAGACTGCCAGTTATTTTCTGATTTACCTCTCTCTAAACTTATGTCTTCCCCCACCCCTGCCTTTTTTGAGACAAGATCTTGCTGTGCAGTTAAGGCTGGCCTTGAGCCCACTTTGTAGCCCAGACTGGTCTCAAACTTGCAACAATCTTCCTGCCTCAACCTCTTGAGTACTGGATTATAGGAGTGTGTCACCAGGTCTGGTTTGTAAATTTGTGTTTTAAATGGTCCACTCTAATAGTGCAGGTCAGATCGAAACAACCAAAATGCAGCCAACCACCTTGGATGGTGTGAACACCCCGAAGTCACATGAAGAAAATTAGCATGTACTGAAAGGAAATTACTAAGGCTGGGAACCACTTTTCCCAGCAAACATCCTGAGTGACACTCAGAAGACATCAAAATGAAATAACACAGAGTAGACCTGGCCCACACACTTTCAAAAGGCCACGTACAGTTAGGATGAACTGTAATCTGCTCCAGCAGATTAGATATTTTAACGGCAATTCTCAGGCCCCATAAGCAAGCCTAGCCTGGCTGAGGGCAGATAACCAGCCGTGTCATATTTACTTCCTAGACTTGACTGTTAAATTTGGCCTACAGTGAGTTGGTGTTTGATTAGATTTATGAAAGAGGAGGTGGTCTGGTGAGAAGTCCTGGATTCTGGCTCAGTGATTCACAGGCTGTGTGACCCTGGACACGCTATTTCACCCCACCAAGAATCAGTTTTATCATCTGAATAATGATGACAACAGCTCTGCTTTCCTGCTTGCTAAGAAGTTGTGAAGATCAGATGAGGTGCTGTTTGAAAGGTGGAGGCTGTGTATGAGTTCACAGGCAGAACCCCAAATGCTGTCTGCCTTTTTCACTTAATTCTCTACCTAATTTACATGTTGTAGATTTCACTTACCTTTCATTCTTGCAGCAAGATCCTTTGGATAGTGTCATTTTTAGAAGAAGAATTGAAATATGTGTAGCTGCCCTATTTATCTTCCAAGTCCTCTGAAATGAAGAAAAAAACTGGAATAATGAAGAAAATTAGAACCAAAGAGCACAGAAAATTCTCATCCTGATAGTCTTTGTTTCTTTGATAACAACAAAATCTAAATTCAAAGGCAAACATCCAGGTCAAAAGTTAAACCTCATTTTCCCAATTTCTCCTTCCCCGCTGAATTTCCTCCCTCAAGGTGAAATGCTGACTTCATGGGTTGCTGTCCCACACCATACTGGGCACAGTTTGGACCTCTCTATGCTGGGCATGCAATAATGTATGTTGAATATTTATAAGAGAGGAAAATTAAAAAGCCTAAATTGTTCTCTTTTCATCTTAAATTTCTGCAATCACACAATGAGAAGCAACATGTTCACCATACTTCAATTGGAGATGCCACTGCTTCTAAGACATACCATGTTTTATATAACACAAAGAAAGACAAAGCTCTATTGGTTAAAATATGACACAGTGTTTCCTTCTTATGTCAATTACAAGACTTCATAATGTTAAATGTGAAAAAATATGCATCTTAGTGTACATGAGATGCAGTATTTTTACCTCTTACAAAAGGCAAAGCTTTCTTTTCTTGATCCTGTCGGAATAAATTAGCAAACTTCAAACTGTCTTACATTTAGTCTCAGCTCCTTGCAGTTATACATGTTACACAATCGTGCTTCTGTGTGGGCAGGAGGGGGACATTGATTCTATTTTTCTTGGGGATACACTTAATACAAAGTATGGGTGTGATTATAGTTTCAGGTAAGTAGAGTTTATCAAATGCCTGTCAGAGCAAAAACCATCAATTCAGTGTTCTGTGTTCTTTACAAGATTTAAGAATGAGAAATGTTTAGGAGCATTTGGCACATCAATTGTGGGTTTTTTTCTCCTAAGCAGTGCCTTTTGTTGTTTTATTCAGTGATTGATTTGGCTGTTTCGTTGTTATTATTCAGTTTATTTTAGTTTAGTTTAAGTAACTGTACAGCATGTTCCTTCTTACAAAGGAAGGATGAACAGACTTCTGTGATGGTAGCACATCACCTGCCTGGGCTAAATAGGACATTTTCATAATGCAAGTGGGAATTTGTCATCCTTCTGGTCAGAAAAAATACAGCTTCTTTCTTTCCTTCCTTTCTTCTTTCCTTCCTTCCTTCCTCCTTTCTTTCTTTCTTTCTTTTCTTGCTTGCTTGCTTTCTTTCTTGCTTTCCTTCTTTCTTTCTCTCTTTCCAGGCAAGTGTTATCTCCCTCCCTAGCTTTTGTATTTCTGACAATCCCTTCTAAATTTACTGTGCACCAGCCCTTCCATTTAGAATGCCCTTCCCTTCAGAATGTCCTTATTCATAACTTCTGTAGTTTTAAGACAAAAATTCCACTTCTAGCCTGTTCTTAAACTTTATTGCTCTGCTCCCTCAGGGTATTACTTATATGCAACAGCAGAGAGTCAAGCAAAAAGAAATATATTTCAAGGGACTAAAGCTGGCTGGGTGAGAAGAAATGAGCCAAACTGCTGGTATCCTCAGACACGCTTTGTAGAGATGTGGGCAGGATGATGCCTGCTCCTTCCAGGAGCCATGGGTGGTTACTGTGATGCTGGTTATCGGTAGCCCGTGTGCTGGGCAGGATGTTGTTCATGTTTGATTACTGCTAATGCGCCTTTCTTGCCCTGTTCTTTCCCCTGCAGTCAGAGTACCACTATGAGTACACTGCGTGTGACAGCACGGGCTCCAGATGGAGGGTTGCTGTGCCACACACACCAGGCCTGTGCACCAGCCTTCCCGATCCCGTCAAGGGCACCGAGTGCTGTAAGCAGCCTTCCAGCTCCAGGGCCTCCCTGCTGCTCAGCTCTGGCCTCTGCCCCAAACTTCCTGCCATCCAAGTTAGACTCTTCCTGCCTTAAAAAAAAATAATGAGCTCATTCTCTCCGTCCCCATCCCCAACCCTTGTGAAATATGGTACAGAAATGGTGTTGCACTGGTGTAAACTTGGTATTTAAACTGGCTTTTATTATCACTTTTTCATTTAAATCCCATCAGTGGGCAGAACATAAGCAATTCAGGTCTGTGCCGCTCAGGTTTGTTGTCCTTTTGTTCGCATTCGTTTTCTTTTTTTGCTTGTGCGTTTCACTCCAATCTGCACTCACCAGCCATAGTCAGTCGTTAGGGAACATTGCATTTCATTTTTGCTCTTGAAAAGGAAGCAGACAAGTTGTATTTCTACAGAGACAGAACTTTAACATGCACGGAGCATCACTTCAGGGAACAAGACTTCCTGACTATGGAACTGACCGTGCGGTCAGGAAGGTGGCGGCTCACTGCAGCCTCTGTGACTTTGACTGCTGCTGGTTTACACGTGGCTGCTGTTACCTTTGCATTGTTCTTTTAGGATAGCAAAGGGAAAAAAGAGAAATGAGAGGCTAGAGTTAAGGAATTAGTCTAGGAATTGGAAAGGAGATGGAATTTAAATTCTAGAATCAGCTGAGGCCAGTGCCTGGTTCAATAGGTGAACAAATAAATACTTGTGAAACTTTGAATGAATACTGCTAAACCTTAAGCAGAACTGAGGTACGACCAACAAATGAGCCATCTTCTGCTAACTTGGCTGACATCAGTGAGTCCCTACTCTGTATAAGCTCCTCCTGTGTGCAGGCATCATGATATGCCTGTGCTGTGTGGACTACAGAGATGAATAAAGCACAGTCTGTGACTGAGAGCTTACAGAATGGAGGAAGGAGCAGACATTCACTCACCTACTTGTTTTTTAAGCAAAGCTTTGTGGCACTCCTGCAGTGTCTGTGCCACCTCTGGGTACCCAGAGTCTAGCGGGTGGCTGGCATATACAGTGTGAGAAGAATGGGCATTATGGGTATAGGATGATGAAGACCGGCTGGGAGGATCACTTCAGGAAAAGCACAGAGGTAGAAGTTCAGGGACACATTCCAGCAAGAGCATGAGTCCAGGATGGAGGTAACATAGAGCAGATGGCAGATGGGGATGAGGTAGAGAAAGATCTGTAGTGGGAGGTCAGGCTGGAAAGTCATACAGGGGGCAAATCAGAGAAGACTTTCAATACCAGGCCAAGAGTTTAAATCTATCATCAAAAGGGAGTCCCTGATTTTTTCCTTTTTGTGTTTTTGAGACAGAGTTTCACTCTGTCACCCAGGCTGGTCTTAAGCTCACTTTGTAGCCCAAACTGGCCTGTAACTTGCAGCAACCCTCCTGCCTTAGCCTCCCAAGCACTAGGATTACAGGCGTGCACCACCACACTTGCAAGGCAGAACCTGCCTGAACCTAACCCTTTCTTATACCTTTTTTTTTTTTTCCTTTTTATCGGTACCAGGGATTGAACTCATGGCTGCCTGCTTGCAAGGCAGGCGCTTATGCCGCTGAGCTAAATCCCCAGCCCCACCTAACCCTTTCTTAAATAACAGCTTTATTTGCGATACAGTTTACATGCCATGGACTTCATCCCTGACAGGGTAAATTTCAGTGGCTTTTTCAGAATATTCACAACAACCATCACTACCCAAGTTTCATAATAACATTTTAATTGGCCTGAAAAGAGATCTCCTAGCATTAACAAAATGTCTCCCCAGATCCCTCCTCTAGTCTCTGGCAATCACAGATTCACCCTCTGTCCCTATGGCTGCATGGTATCTGTAAATCTAACGCGCAACATGCCACGGCCTTAAATCTGAACGGGCCAAACTGAGCTGAACTTCTCCCTTTAGAATGCCCTCACCTCACCACTTCTTCAGGGGGCACAGTGACCTCACCACCCCTCCCTTGTCCCTACCCTGCTTTCCAGCTTTCTCTTGCAATGCTGGGGAGTTTCTGGATATGAAGGACCAGTCCTGTAAGCCGTGCTCCGAGGGTCGCTACTCCCTCGGCACAGGCATCCGGTTTGACGAATGGGATGAGCTGCCCCATGGCTTTGCCAGCCTCTCCGCCAACATGGAGATCGAGGACAGTACCACCGAGTCCGCTGAGAACTGCACTTTGTGAGTTTGCCTGCTCTGGCCCTGGGCATCTGGGAGACACCTTCTGGTGCTTCTCAGGCTGGGGGTGTGGGGTGCGGGGGTGGAAGCAAAACTGTGGAATGAGGGTAGGTGGGGTGGGCCTCCTGAGACTGCTAGTTGTGGCTGCCGGCTCTGCCCACTCTTAGCTTATCACTGACTGGCAGGCAGGCATATGTGAGAGAGGCCTGGAGAAATAAGAGGTGGCTCTACAAGGGGATCAAGGGTTAAGTGACCCCCCCACACCCCATACTCCCACTGGGAATTAAACTCACAGCCTCGCACTTGCTAGGCAGGTGCTGTGCCACTTAGCTATATCCCCGACCCAAATGACCCTTATTATTTAAAACAAAATCCAGTTGGATATCCACCATGAAATTTTCATCAGCCAATAAACTTGCTCAACTTGACTGAAGCAAAATATGCAAAGTATTGGGTGTCTTTTTGGCTTTGACGCTAGCTTCTAAAACTTGTTCCTTCCACATAATCTGAGTTGTGGGTTTTGCGGGGGTGGGGATTAGAGTAAGACTTGAGCATCGGTCCACAGTGGCTGGGATCTTCCAACTCCTTTGAGATTCCAAAGGGCAGAAAATTTTCCAGGTGGAGATCTTTGCAAGTAATGGAAACACGCAGAATGGCTGGACAACTGGATATTTATTTGAGATTCGTCTTTTATGTCTCCAGCACTATACTGAAAACTTTACATATATTATTTCTATAATTTATGCAAGAATCCTGTGAGATAAGTATTGTGGTTCCCATTACAAAGAGGAGAAACTGGAGGCTCAGAGAAGTTAAGCTATCTGCCTTTATTACCTAGTTTACAACTAGTGAAACTGGAATTCAAACCCAGTTACAAGCTTTCAATTCCCCATATGGCCACCTTCAAATAACATTATGTGCAAGGCAATGTGGGAAATTGTGCAAATAACATTATATATATTGCTTTTTGTTAAATACTGATAATGAGCATCAGAGGAAAGAAAAAGGAAGCAAAAGGATTTTTAAAAAATTGAAGAAGTTGGGGATATGGTGGTGCACACCTGTAATCCCAGTACTAGGAAGGCTGAGTCAGGAGGATCACTGTGAGTTTGAACCAGCCTGGGCTACTTAGTGAGTTCAAGGCCAGTTTGAACTACATAGCAAGCGTGACTCTGTCCCAAAACAAACAAACAAACAAACAAACAAACAAACAAGACAAGAATTTTACTACACCTGGATTTCTAAAAGTAGGAGCATTTTCCCCATTCTTATTAAATCTCCTAGAAGTACCAATGTCTGAGCCATGTAGCAGATACTCAACAATCCAGTTATAATGTTATTTTACAATTCAATTTATGTGTTCTATTCATTCTTGTGTTAAAGCTAGAGATGGTACAAGCCAGAGAAGAGGAAATGTGTAGGTTAAAACAGCCCCCATCTGAGCCCTAATAACAGATGTCATTTGACCCTGGCCAAGGTGCAGACCTGGCCCACTCAAACCATTCTTGCTCATGCAAAGGAAGAGTTTCACCTCTCTCCAGGGGCTGTGCTGAGAGCCCAGAAACCATTATCTCTCAGTGAGGCAGGATGTGGGCCTGTTAATAGCAGCCTGTATTTCCACAGTATAGGCTGGCACAGAGCTTGTATCTTGAAGCATCCAATATCATCTCTGGGAAGGTAAGAGAGATGTTTCTCCTCTGTAGAAATGGAGCGGAAAAGGCCACCTGGAGAGATTCTGAAAGGCAATAGTTGAGCTGGTATCAAGAGCCCAAATATCTGGTTTTCCAGTTCAACCTGATTCCAGGCCTCCAGCCTGAGCCCAGCCAGCGCTGCCTCCTGCCTTACTGCCTCTGACCTGATGCAAACCAGCATCAATTCCTGCCTGCTTTGCCTCGAGACCTCCAAGCTTGTTTCCTGCTTCCATTCCCTGCCTTCTCCAGCCCATACTCACCCCAAGCCAGATTGATCTTCAGAAACTGACTAATCACAGTGCTTTCCTACTCAAGACCCTGGGATCTGTGGATATCCATTGCTCTTGGGATAAAATGCAGCACCTTTCCATAGCCTACAAGCCTGCCTTCTGCCCTTTGCCCTTTGCCCCTTGCTCTTTGCCCTCAGCCCTCTGCCCTCTGCCCTCTGCCCTCTGCCCTCTGCCTTCCTTCTTGCCTGCCCTGTTTCAGCCACACTAGCTGCTTGGCTTCCTTCCTCCTCAGGGTCTTTGAGTGACTTCCCTCTCCTCTTTATCCCTTAGGTCTCTGTTAGATATAGGCAGGACAGAAAGAGTAGAAGACTAAATACTATGCCTATGAAATAAGAGTGTGTGAAAGATGGATTCAGATATTAAAAAGGCATAAATGTTTAAAATTAAAATAATGCAGATCACTGCTGAATGACCTGCGGCAAGTTTCCCAATCCCTTCTGCTCTCAGTTTCCTTATCCTAAAAAAATGAGAAAAATGATGCCCTTTTTGAAGACTGTTAAGGATCACTGTGATCATGTAAAGAATTTAGATCGTTGCCTCTGGCACTAGAAATCAACCAAAACGTGCTATATGGGATGTGAAATGTCTTTGCTGGAGTCAGCGCTGACAAAAATCAGAATTGTGATGCATTTTCTAAATGTAACCCACTTATGGCACCTTTTTAATTATTCATTAAACTTCAGGAGTTATTTATAACTGATGCTGTGGAATACATCAGCACTAAATGTCTTTTTCAACAAGGAAAATCAATGCCATTAGATTAGCTGGGATGTTTTGGATGAGCTCAGTTTATATTTCAGTAATACCAAGGTCTCTGCCCTCACCACATCTAGGCAGGACAGATAAGTGAGGAGGAATTCAAATAAAGTATGGTCAAAAGAGGAAACCCAATGGCAAACAGCTTCACAAAAGATGCTCAACTTCACTAGTAATCAGGAAATAAGATTTAAAGCCCAATTAGAACTCATTTCCAGCCACTTCATATTGGTGACAATTTTAAAGTTGGACAGATCCAAATTTGGAGGATGTAGAGCAATAAGGACTTGTTGGTGACTGTAAATTGATACAACCTCTTTGAGCAACAAGGGAGCAGAACCTGGGAAACCTGGAGATTCACATACTCTGGGCCAGCAGCTCAACTGCCAAGTGTTTCTCAACAGGGACATTCGTAACAGAGTGTATGCAACAGAAAAAAATGGAAACAATGTACATGTTCAGCCGTGAGGAATAAATATGGTAGAGACATAAAAGGGGTATTATGCAGTAGTAGAAATGAAAGGAAAGGCAATGTATGTTGCTCAGTGGTTAATTACCTGCTTAGCACATACAAAGCTGAGTTTGATTCCCAGCACCACCATATCGATGTCAAAAAACCAAACCAAAACAAAACAAAAAACAGAGAGAGAGAGAGAAGAGTTATATAGTGTGAAGACAGATAAATCCTACAACCGTATACTGTAGACTTTCCCTCAAAAATAGTAAGTTTTATGACATGTAAGTATGATGTAATTTGCATAAATTCAAAAAACAAAATCAGGCAAAGTACATGCCTATATTCTTGGCACTGGGGAGGCTGAGGCAGGAGGATTGCTAGGAGTTCAAGGCATTCCAGGCTATGTAGTAAATTCAGGTCCAGTTTGAACAACATGGTACTACCTTGTCTCAAAAACCAAACAGATCAATAAATATATTAAAAACATATGAAGCACTATCATTTAGTATATTTCAAGAACTTCATGAAAGATGTTAAACACCAGATTCAGGAAAGTTGTCCCTTGACAAGGGGAAAGAGTTGTTCGAGGAAAAAAAAAAAAGGGATGAGATTAGCCAGGGTTGATCGCTAAGAGTGTTTCTGCTGTGCTGTAGTTTTTCTTTTTAGCGCCCGAGACAGAATCTAGGGTAACCTGAACTGTAGAGCTTCTTATTTTGAGACAAGGTCGTGTTAAATAACGCAGGCTGGCCTCAAGCTTAGTGGTCCCCCTGACTTGGCCTTACAAGTACATGAGATTATAGGCGTGTACCACATCACCTGGTTGCGATGTATTACTTTAGCAGGGTGCAGAGAACAGGCATGTTCATTAGATGTAATGTATGATGTTCATTAGATGTTTGTATGATGTAATGATAGTACTTTATAACATTAAAAATAAAGCAGAATAGAATTATAGTTATGAGAAAGAAAACAGAGAAAGCTACGGGCACCCATAACAAAAGCAGACAGAATCAAGGAAGACTTCTTAGATTAGGTGGCATTTATACAAAGACAGGAGGAAGAATTAAACAGAGGGAGGAGGAGGAAATTGATTTCAGGAGAGCAAGCTCATGGAAGAAAGTTTGGCAAAGAAATTGAGAGAAATTCCTTTGGGCTGGAATATTAGGAGTGGGCCATGAATCTGTACCCCGTGTCAAGGTGGCAGGAGTTAGTCACGCGGTTTTCAGCAGGAGAGTTCTGGAGGAGAGGACTGGAGGTGGCAGGCTGGATGCATCTTAAAGTAGACAGCTCCAGACAAACAAGCGGACCTCCCTAGATGAACTTCTGAGTTCTGAAGAATATCTGTGTCTGCTGACTCATGTTGGACTGCTTTGGAGTCAGACAGACATGGGTTTGAATCCCAGGCTTCATGACTTTGAGAAAGGTACTCTCTGAGCCTCAGTTCATCATGTATTAAGTGAAAAAAGGAGCTCTTCCTATACCGGTGAAAATGAATCATGAATACAAACATGTAATTCTGTACACGAAGCAACCAATAAGTGTTTCCCACCTTCTACTTCATCTGCCATCTACCTCTGGGGTAGTTCTAAACGATGCAGAGGTAACCTGTCTATCTTCCTCTGGTTGCCTGTATGCTAGGCTCCCTGATCTGCCTCAAAGCTCCTTTGGTCACTCTTCACTGAGCATTTTCAGGTCCAGGCTTTGGTTCATAAAGCAAAAATCTGGAATCCCCAGGCACCCAGCAGACCATGAGAGCTGCCCAAAGTCTGATGCGCTGTGCTCCTGAAGGCGAACCTCACTCCCGTTCCCTCGTAGGTCTAAGTGGGTTCCCCGGGGTGACTACATCGCCTCTAACACGGACGAATGCACCGCCACGCTGATGTATGCCGTCAGCCTAAAGCAGTCCGGCACTGTGAATTTTGAGTACTACTACCCAGACCCCAATATCATCTTCGAGTTTTTTGTAAGTCCTGGCCAAGGGGAAAGAAGGGAAATGAAGGGCCTCTGAGATTTAGATTCATTTGCAGGAGTCAGCTCCAAGTGTGGTCCTGCTTGGCAAATTGCAGTTTTTCCTCTGGGGAGGACTGTGGGAAATGAGCTGAGGCCTCAGGAGGCAAAGGAAAAGCAAAAGCGGAAGGACCCTAAGGGGGTGGGGGAAGAGAATCTGTGAAATTTCTAGGACTTTCTCCCTGTTCAGACATGAAAAGACCATATAAATGGCTAAGTTGAAAATTACTTCTTTGATGTATGGGCTGAGATGTTTCATGAGAGTGCATGTGCATGTGCATGTGTGTGCATGTGTGTGTGGGGGGGGGACCCTACTTCAAGGCTGTGTCCCGGGTCAGTCCTAGAGGAAACTGACAACTCTCTTCCCATAGGAAAAGCCTCTGTAGGGCTATGCAGCATGGATAGCAAGGACTAAAGCCCTTATTTCCTTCCTTATTTCCTCAAACTCCCTCTGCCTCAGGTCCAGAATGATCAGTGTCAGCCTAATGTGGATGACACCAGGTGGATGAAAACCACGGAGAAAGGATGGGAATTCCACAGTGTGAGTGTCACACCCAGCCTTCTCGGAGGTCCCAGAGAAGGCCCAGGGGCCTCTCCTCAAGGATAACTTTCTCTCACTCTGAGCTTCCTGCTCCTATGAGGTCTGGGAAGATGAGGGTGCACTGGCTCCCGTGCTCTTGATGGACAGAAGATGGGTATAGGTTGGCTTCTTACTCTTAAGCTTCAGCTCAGCACCAGCAACTTTCTAGCTTTAAGCCCAAGCTTTCTGGAGCTTAGGGCACACTAGGCACCCTACTACCAGTTACTTCATATCCCTTTATTGGTCTCACTATAAGACATATTCATGAAGCCCGAGATGCAAAAAACAGTGGGAGAGGCTACAAGGGGGCTGTAAGGAAGGCTTGCAGAGAGAAACCGAGCTAAGCTGAGAAGGCAAAGACAAGAGGGAGGGAGACCGTCTGTGGAGACTGGCAGTGTCTGTTCGGTAAGAGATTAAAGTGGCAGGTTAGTGATGCCTGCCTCTGCCATGAACTAGCTAATGCCTTTTTGTCATTTTTTAGGTTGAGCTAAATAGAGGCAATAATGTCCTCTACTGGAGAACCACAGCCTTCACAGTGTGGTCCAAGGTTTCCAACCCTGTGCTGGTGAGAAACATCGGCATCACAGGTACACACATGGGGTTGGAATTTGGGGTCTTTTGCTGACTTCCTGGCCTTTTGACTTTTCAGGGAGGGTGGCGGTCAGTCTTCAGGGTCTCTGTATCCAGGCTCAATCCTTGCTTTTCTACATGTTCTTCCTTAGGAGTGGCCTACACTTCTGAATGCTTCCCCTGTAAACCGGGGACATACGCAGCCAAGCAAGGCTCCACTTTCTGCAAGCTTTGCCCTGCCAACACTTACTCAAATAAGGGAGAAGCTTCTTGCCATCCTTGTGACTCTGACAAATATTCAGGTAATGTTTGGTCAGGGGAAGAGTTGGAGTGGTGGGTGACAACACACAGGAAGGAGTCAGGAGGTAGAGCCACTCTGCTGGCCAAACAGAACATTATAAATCATAAGCCCTTCCTTTTTAGATGCTGGGAGATCCTTGCCAATCCACATCCACCAATCACTCCCCAGAAATAAATCAATATATATTTGCTGAGTCTCTCCTGTCTTCCAGACCCTATTCTAGGTGCTTAGAATATATCGGCAAAAAGTCTCTGTGTTCATGAATTTACATTCTGTTGGAGGGAAAGCAGATAGTAAAGAATAACAATAAATGACTTATACATAATAAATTATACAGTATGCTATATTAGATGGCAAAAAGTACCATGACAAAAAGAAAAGCATCCCCAAGTTAGAAAAATTTTTAAAAATAGGGAAGTGTTTTGCAATTTTTCCCCAAGTAGTAAAATCTATTTAATATAATTAAAATCTACATGGTTATAATTATAGTCAATAAATATAAAATTATAGTCAATAAATATAAAACATAGTCAAAAATATAAAATATAAATTTATATAGTTTAATTTATAATAGTTTTTCTTGAGACAGGATCTCACTATATAGTTCAGGCTGATCTTGAACTTACTGTATAGTCCAGGATTGCCTCAAACTCACATCAATCCACTTGCCTTGGTCTCCCAAGTGCTAGGAATTATAGATGTGTACCACCACACACAGATATAACAGTTATTATAAAAGTTATTTTTAAGAACTGAGGCTGCATTAATGAGCACAAACACTAAGGTTTTATTTTTATTTTTATTTATTTTATTTTTTTGGTACTGGGGATCAAACTCATGATCTTGCACTTGCCAGGCAGGTACTTATGCCACTGAGCTAAATCCCTGGCCCTTATTTTGTTTTTAAATGACAATTGATAGTATATATTTATAAGGCATAGTGTTCTATATACTATATATATATATTGTAAATATATATTGTAAATATAATATATATATATTATAAATATATATATATATATATATTGTGGAATGATCAAATCAGGCTAGCAATATAATCATTTTGATAGCAAGGACCAAAAATGGAAGTTAGGATCTTTTTTCAGACCAAGCATCCACTGAATTCAAAGCGTGAATATATATATATTCTTCCACCTTAGCCTCCTAAATACCTGGAACTGCTAGGCATGGTGGCACACATTTGTAATCCCAGCACTTTGGGGAGCTAAGGTAGAAAGATCTCAAGCAAGTTTGAGCCCAGCTTGATCAACTTAGTGACTTACTGAGACCTTGTCCCAAAATTTTAAAAAATAGAAAAGATCTGGGTATATAGCTGAGTGCAAAGTCCCTGGATTCTATCCCCAGTCTGGGGACATGGGGGAACTGGGGCTATAGGCGTGGGCCAATATACGGGGCCTCCAGAGCAGGCATTTCTGAAAAATCCAAGTTTTCTTGGAACATAGTTTGAAACCTATTTGCCATTTGGCAGCAGCCTATTTATCCAATCCTAGATACAGTAGCTTCCTAAAACATCCTAATTTAAGAAAGAAGACCTATCGTTTGAAGAGATGTCAGGGGACATCAAAGCTCTGGGTTAAGGTGGGCAGTGTCACCAGAGGGCCCTCTGTCAGTGATTGGCACAAGGTGAGTCTCCAAGGCAGGTTTGGGACATGTAAGAAGGAAGGAAGGGCTTTTCTTTTTGTCCTTTGAACCACTGATCACACTTCTATTTTTCTTTTTTACATAAAACGCAGCACAAAGCCATCTCTGAGTAGACCCCATGTCCCCACAGAGACATCCTCACTCCAGCAGGTGTTGTTTGCTTAGCCAAGACCAGCCATGAACTTCTGAATTGCTTAATTTCTACACCACTCCTAAAACAAAAGATCTATTTATCTACACAGATCTTGCCAAATAATGAGTGTAGTTTTCAGCCAGAACAAGAAAGTGTAGATCTTGGAGGAAGTTTTATCTATAAGTCTAAATTCCTGTTTTTCCACTTGAATTTCTTATTTCCCTTTGTGCTCTGCCGGTTTCAATGGTGGCCTTTGTTAGTCCATCTGGGCTGCGTTTCCAGCTCAACAGTTGTGCAAGGGTTTGAATGGCAGAGTGCTTCTGGAGAAATTACCGAGGAGTATTTTGATCATCTCTTTGTAAACTGAATTTTAGCCAGAGAGCTGTTGTAAAGTGTTAGGTTGGTAGTCTGATTTCTTATATTATATTTTTCTGTCATCAGTTTCTTAAACAACCCCTTTGATTGAGTAGTGAGTTTCTATTAGGAAGACATGGTAGTGAGTTTTTATTATGACTGACCAGCTTGGGATTTAGAGAGTTACATTTCTTTGAGACCTGACTTCCAAGTGGTGCTGGGGAAAAGATGGAAGGCTGAGAAAACAGTAAAGTCAGATAAGTGCCAATGGTGGAAGTCATGTGTGATGAAAGACCCATCCACGTGCAAATACAGTCTGAATATGCCAGAGCTGAGCTTGGAGTTACAGTTAGAGCTCATGGCTACCCTCCAGCTTCTGTTGAAAACACTGTGATAAAAACTTGCAGGTGTAGTACTTTACATGGTACAGTGGGGTTGGGATAGTAGTGCTGGGTATCATGTACAGTAGAGGAAAAAAAGGGATTAAAAAATGGTTGTTCTCTGAGATAAGAGGAGAGACTTCACTAGCTAAATTCTTATAATATGAGTTGAGCTGAGCATGCATGGTAATTACATGCCTGTAACTCCAGGACTCAAGAGTCTGAGTCAGGAGGATTGCAAATTCCAGGCCAACCTGAGCTATACCTTGGGCTATACAATGAGATCCTGACTTAAAAGAAAAAAATAGATGAGCTGAGTTTTGAAAGATGAGGTGGTGATTTAATGGCAAAAAGAATATTTGAGACAGGGAAAATGAAAGCCCAGGCCAGAAGGCTCAAGGCTAGAGATTAGGATGCAGAGATGCAGCATTCAAGGCTAAAAGGTAAGTATGGAACAGAGTATGAAGCAGCCCTTCTGTACTATTCCTAGAGAAAGTGAGATTTGCAAAAAACAAATCAATTTTAATGAATAAAAGTGACTACTAGAGGTTGGGAAAGTCAAAGGAAAGAAGAGAGAGGAGGAAATTGGACAACAGGTACCAACATACTAATAGAGATACCTTGTGTTCCATAGCACAGTGCTGTGACTATTAACATACCATGATCTATTACCTATAACCTATAACGTACATTAACCTATTATATATTTTAATGAAGAACATAGAGTAAAAGAGCTGTAAGGCTCCAAACACAAAGAAATGATAGGGAGATGGAAATGCTAACTACCTTGATTTGATCAGGACATGCTGTATATGCATTTACACATTGCACTGTACCCATAATATGTACAATTATTACTTGCTAATAGAAATTCTCTTTAGCAATTGGTATTTGATCCTGTGGAGATATTAAAGCATTTTGACTTGAGGAGTGGCATGACCTGACTTGTGCTTTGGGAGGCCACTCTGGCTGCTCTGCGGAGGAAGAGAGGAGGCTAGAGACTGCAGCCAGAGTTGGGCGCTTTTGCTGCAGGCACTATTTGTTGCTGGGGCCCTGAATGGAAAAAAAGGAAGGCTTAGCAGGGTAAAGACTGGAGAACTCACAGTGGAAATGCTAAGGACACAAGTTTGATGAAGAACATTTTTCATTAATACCTAACATTCAATAGTTAGGACTAATTCTTTTGTGCTGTTAGGATAATATGGAGTTTAGGAGCATAGCCTCTAGAACTAAGTTACTGGGTTCAAATCCCCGTTCTACCATTTAATAGCTGGGATACCTTGAGCATGTTATATAACCTGTGCCCAGGTTTCTATATTTGATCTTAGTTGAAAAGCTGAGAAGTGATTTTATCTCAGTCTTTTTATCTCTAAAATGGGAATGACAATAATCATATATGCTTCAGTATTATCATGAGGATTGATTAATAGAGATAAAGAATTTAGGGGCCTGGCATCAGTAAGCACTAATTCTATTGATTACCCTTAAGGCCTATATGAATACTCTTCTTTTAATATGAAAATACTCTTGTTATAGACCACAGTAATGAGAGGCCACTTGTATAGGACTTTATAACTGATACATTATTTATTTCTTAGAATGTAGGCATAAGTTTCCTATTTACAAATGAGTAAAGAGAAGTGCAGAGAAAGGTAAAGGGTTTGCCAAGCATCTGCACTGGTACCTGAGCTGGACCTTGTGTTCATTAGGCCCATAAATATTTTCTTTTGATCAAAGGAGTCTGAGTGAGAACTGTGTACACCTAGGTATGGGGAGAGGATATTGAAAGGAGAAAGAAGGTCCAGAAAGAGGAGTGGAGGCTCCCTGAGATCAACTTCCTCTTCTTATAGTTTTCCCGGGATTAGGCTACTGTACTCAAATTTCTTTTTACTCCCTCCACTAACCAAACGGGAAGGCTGATCTTCCAAACTTGACCCAGTACTCTGGTTAAACACCTCGGTGAGGCTGAGCTAGCAAAGTGAGGCCTGTCTTACCCTTTAGGTTAATCATTTACTAAAACCATTTTAGCAGTCCTCAATGTGTAAACAGCTGGACCATTTTTGCTACAATCTGTAGGTTGAGCAAATATTTGAAAAGCAGAGAAAGGTCTGTGTGCAGGACGCATTTTCTAACACACGCCTTGTGCTTTGCTAGACTCAGTACCCAGGGTCCTGGGAACTGGCAGGTGTTCAGTGTCTCCTCCCTGGTCTCTCCTGGCCAAGTCGCTCAAAAGCAAGAGCCGCGGGATCCCTCTGTGCTGAACTGGACCTTTCGCTTGTTATCCAAATAAATAGCTGGGACGACCCCAGCTGTTTCTCAGCTAGTAGTTCCCTCTTTCCCAGCTAATCAGAGGAGGACAGAAGAGATGGGGAGATGTGCAGCTGAGGAAACTCCCTGGTGCAGGCCAGCAAGACTGTAATGAGGAGATTCCCTGATCAAGGAAGGCATTTGGGAAAAGGAAGGGATCAGCTGAGAAATCGGCCCTTCACTGCAGGGAAGGAAAAGAGATTTTTAATTCTTACTACATCTCCTGTGACAGTTCCAAAATAAAACTAATTTATAAATATACAGGTAGTAACATATACTGGCACTTAGTTAATATCTACTTACAAAATGCCAGGCATGTGGTGGCTCCAAGATAAATAATATTCTTGCTCTATGGATGAGAGAACTAAATCTCAGAGTGGTTAAGTAACTTCCCTAAAGTGACACTGCTGTTAACAATGAAGCAAAATCCAAACCTAATTCTGTGTAGATTTAAATCTCATTTCATAATACCATGCTACATGTTAGATAGCATAGGAATGGAGAGGATCCCATCATTGTCAAATGTTTGCTTACAGCGGACAAAGTACTCATATTAGAAGTAGTGATGGCAGCAGTAGCTGTATTGTAATGTGCACTACATAAAGTAGTTGTTTTCAACAGAGAATATGAATTAAAAATAAAGAGCAAGGAGACAGTTATGCACAAGATCTGATGGTAAGCATGAAAACTAGCTAAACAGCACAAAGTCTAACATTGTTACAGATGGAGTAATAAAACTAAATGTGAAAATAGATTTGTAAGCTAGATCTAAAATTTTCAGTTTATGTAGTTTTAAACCATCTAAAAGAGTGCCAAATATTCACTGTATTGTGCAAATAAATAGTTCTTATTGCCACATAGTGTTTTTTTTTATTTTTGACACATAGTATCATGCATGTTGTTAAGCCAAATGTATTTAAAATAAAAGTGTTTTATCACTGTGGACAGGGCAAGTACTGTAAGACAGTCTGAATGTTAATATAACAAAATGGAAAATGGTAGTTTTATTTCTCTTATATTTAATTACAAAAGAAGAAAATTAGGACATTTGTTCATAATGCTAATACTGATAGTGTAAGAAGAAAATTTCGAAGCACCCTTTGAGAGGAGCAGATAAAATGTTATTTGATAAACTGAACTGGAAAAAATGGTTGTTACTTCCTCAGGTGGTATTTCATATAAGTCAACTTGTCATTGAGTTGAGGACAGAAATATGATATATACATTCCAGGCTTTGAAATTGAAAAGAAATTTTTAAAAATCCATGAAAATAGCAAAAAAAAAAAAAAGTAGCAAAGAACATTCAAATTGCATAAAGGAGATTGACAGAAGTAGAAGGGAATTATCACACTCATAAACCAGTTAAATTCCCAATTAATAAGATCCAAATTTAATCAAAAATCAATCTTTGATTTGTATAAAACAAAGGCTAAAAGGGCTTAAGAGTAATAGAAATTCTTTAGACCACAAAAATAGCAATGTTTTAAAGGCAGAAATAAGAATATTACAACCCATTACATATTTAAGAGAATTGATGTGGTAAATAACATGACATTCATTTGTAAAATCAATGTTTAGTATCTTGATGAAGGTGGTAGTTTTATTGCTATAAAAATTTTACTGCTGCAAATTGACAGATTCATATAATTTTAAAAGATACATATGTTGTAAAACGCATGCTTAAAATGAGTGCATTTATCCAGGTGTGCTGGTGCATGCCTGTAATCCCAGTGCTCGGAGGCTGAGGCAGGAGGACTGCCATGAGTTTGAGGCCAGCCTGGGCTATGTAGCAAGACCTTGTCTTAAAAGTAAAATAAAATAAAATAAAATAAAATAAAATAAAGTTAGTGTATCTTAAGTATTTAAAGTTCAATGAGTAATCCTTCAGTTAAGAAGAATGCATGGAGCATAAATTTATAAAGCAGTTGTTTTTATTCTGAAGAAAGCAAATTCCCTAGGGAAATTTTTTAAAAATTTCTTTCTTTTCCTTTTTTTTTTTTTGTACCGGGGGTTAAACTCACAACCTCACGCTTGCTAAGCCGGCACTTATGTCACTGAGCTAAATCCCAAGCCCACCAAAATTTTAAATTTCATTTGTGTGTGTTACGTGTATTTTTCTGAGTAGAAGAAACAGCTCTCGTTTTTTCCCCAAATTTTTAAAAGGTTTTTTTAATTCCAAAGAGGTGAAATACATTGCTGTGAAAAGAAGTTCACTGACAGTTGCTGTTGTCCAGTCACTCATAGAGCTGAGGAAGAACTAACAGACATAATGAGGACATACAGAGCAGAGTAAAACTGATACTTAGCATTTCTCATCAGGTACACATCAAAGATTAAAGGCGGCATTCATGGAAAAACCTTCTGTCTTAAGTGGAGCCCCAGGAAATTACAACCTAAGCTTTACTGTGTTTAGTTCAACCCTAAGGAGTAGCAAAACCACCCAAGATGGGGTGGCTAAGGCACCTAGAGGATGGCAGGTTTCAGGGATCAAGGGTCAGTGGTGGTGACCCTGATGCCGTTTCCAGCTGCGCCCCTCCACACTGGTCTGTGGGCTCATGGTGCAGAACCAGCAGCTTCTCAGCAGCACCGGGAGGAGGTGCAGTAGGGTAGCTGAGCAGCAGGTGAGGGACAGGAAAAGACCTCATTGAAGCAAAGAGAAGGGCAGACATGCAGGGTTTTCTACTTTCTGCAACATCCTGGGCTTGAGAATTCCAAGATCATGAGCAACTGCTTTTAAAATTTAACCTCAAATATCATTTCTTGCTTTGGTCATTTAGAAAAAGGATCCTCCTCCTGCAAAATGCGCCCAGCTTGCACAGACAAAGATTATTTCTACACACACACGGCCTGTGATGCCAACGGAGAGGTGGGTACCAAAGTCTCAGAACCTCTTTGCCCAGGTAGACCGTCTCCTGCTCCCTGCCTATCCCACTTTTTGGAGTGCTAGTGACCAATGATGCTGGTCCCACATAAGACCCTGCAGACCCGTGCGGTGACCCCAGGGCTAATCAGGGGGCCAAGTGGGCTGGCTCCATTCACTTTCAGATCAGAAACTGGTTTGCCTCATTTGTTTCCCTGCTCTGTCAATTATGCTACGTTTCAAAAACCATTCTTTTTCTTTCGAGTGGTTTCTTCCATTTGCGTAGCCCCTCTGGGTGGCTCCTGGTTATCCATGCTCACATATTTCCTCCTAGAGCTTCTGGCGCTGTGTCCTTGACGCTGCTGCTGCACTTGGCAGAGAGGTGGGATCCTACTTTGAGCTCACTGGAGAATGGCCTGACTGGTTCAGTCTCCATTGTTGCTCTTTCCCCAAGCCTTCTGGCTCAGAAAAGGACTCTCTGGTTGTGCTGACTGACGTGCCAGGCTGGGGAGTTAGAGGTAACCAAGATGCCAGGGCTGCTCCTCTCACAGAGCTCATGGTCTTGTGTGGGAGGCTGAAGAGAGGAGAAAGCGGGGCCAGATAAGGCAGCCAGGGTGATGTATGTGGGTCAGGGGGAGCCCTGAAGATAGCAACTCAGTATGAGGTGGGCACGGAAGGCTTCATGGAAGAGGCTGTTTGCTCATTTCAATAGTCAACAAACATTTACTGAGCAGCTACTACATGCGAGGACACTGTGTTAAGCTCTAGATACATATCAGCAAAACCAAAGGAGCATCTAGTTCTCAAGGGGCTTAATTATTGGTGGGGAAGGACATGACAGAAAGACCACGGATTGGTATATTATATCATATGGTAATGAGAGGCAGGAAAAAACAAATAGAACAGAATTAGGAAACAGAATGACAGAGTGGAGATGCTATTTCAGAAAGGCAGGGATGGCCTCTCTGAGACTGGCTGAGCAGAGCTGCATGAGATGCGCAGCAGCTGCGGGCTTTTCTAGGCAGCGGGCACAGCAGTGTGGAGGAGGTGGTTTGGACTAGCGGCAGTGAGAAGGGATAGGTGTGAGGCTGTGAGTGGAGGGATGAGGGAGACTGGACACTCTGTGGGGACGGTGTGTGTCCCTGAGCCAGAGCTTTTCCGGGGGATAGAATTGGGGGCCGGAATTCAGCAGTTAGTGCTGAGCATGATGCTAGACTGTTAGGGTACATGAGTGTTTGCTGGCTGCATGCCTGCTGAATTGTCCCTTTGCTAATGAAGTATGAGATAAAGTCTAGTTCTTAATGCTATTCTTTTTTTAACAGTCATCTCTTTCCTCCAGCCTCCTCCCTATATGTAGAGCTCGGCGCCCTTCCCCAGCAGCCAGGAGAGAATGTCTGCTTTGTCGGTGGGACCTTAGGCTAGTTATGGAGCATCGAGTGTTCCATATGAACTCGGAAAAATTATTTTCACTTTCTTGGAATCAGTAGACTCACTAATACAGTGGGACAATTAATCCTGTCCTTTTCTCCACTAAGTGCAATGCATAACTGACTACAGCTGTCTTTTTTTTTTTTTCCTTTTCCCCATTTTCTCCTCTCCTGGACTCAGGTCAGTTTCTTTCAGATCTGCAGGATGCTGTGCTGCTGTGAGCCTAGGTGCTGCCTTTGCCTGACCCCCATTGGGGTCCCTAGATGCCTGGTCAGGCCAAGGCCCTGCTCCCCTGCAGCACAGCCCAAGCACAGCACAGAGAGCAACACACAGGCACATGCTTTGAAGGGTACACGTGAATGTGCATTTGGCAAGTCCGCTCCATGTGCTCACACCCACACTCAGTCTGCTTAGCCTGGTGATTTCTCGGTTTCTCTCTCTCTCTCTCTCTCTCTCTCTCTCTCTCTCTGTCTCTCTCTGTCTCTCTCTCTCTCTCTCTCTCTCTCTCTCTCTCTCTCTCTCTGTCTTTTGATACAGTGTATCACTGTGCAGTTTGGGCTGGCCTTGGGCTCACTTTGTAGCCCAGGCTGGTCTTGAACTTGAAACAATCCTCCTGCCTCAGCCTCCTGAGTGCTAGGATTACAGGAGTGTGCCACCATGCCTGACTTCTCTTTGGTTTTTAAAGAATTTCAATATGTATGCCAGGGTCTTAGTCTTACTATATATTTTATACCAGCCTTAAACTCACTATGTAGCCCAGGCAGGCATCAAACTCACAGTGATCCTCTGCCTCAGAGTGTCAAAGGCTGGAATTACAATCATGAGTCACATACCAGCTTATGTTCTCAAATCTGAATTTTAAAATCAAGAAACCTCAAGGCAGTTGCTGTGATTGACCCTGTGACCTGTTCTGTGCTTTGTAGTTTCTTAAGGACCATAGTAGCCAATTCTTTGGGTCTAAATATGCTGCTCTGACAGATGGCACAAATCAGTCTTTTCTCCCCTCTCTGAAACTCACCGGAGACAGGCAGGGATGAAAAGGTTAGGATGAAAGCCTGGGGCCCTGGCCATTGGCCTGTTTGCAGTGAGAAGGAGGCCTAGGGCTCACCACCAAAGAAACAAGCAACTCTCTTCAAGACTTCAGCGTATCCTGAATAAAAGGGACGGAGGCCTTAATCTGCCCACCCTGTGACATGAATCATGTGCAGAACAGATCATTTTTGTCATCCCCTCAGTGCCATTCCTTAGGGTTCCTTTTTTTGGTCTGACTGATCTGAGGCCTGCATGGGAAGAAGAGAGCACACACACACATGCACACACACACATACACACAGGCACACACACACACACACACACACACACACACACACACACACACGGGTCTCCTGCAGGTCATCCTCCCTTCTGCTTTTAGCAAAAGACAAGAGATATTCTAATGGATGTCAGAACAAGGCCTCTTTGTTCACCAACCTGATGACTGTCTGTTCCTCTTGTAGTTTCTCTCACCTAGATTGTCATTATGTTTTGTTGACTCCCCGTATCATTTGTTCCTGACGGACAGGAGCCATGTTTCATTCCTCATGGAGATACCAGCTGTGGCACATAGATGTAATGGGCTTCCTATAAATGTGTATACATTAGATGAAAAAGCAAAGAACTGGAAAACTAGAACATCTCAGCCACCTGTCTTTCCCTAAGGGTCATATAAATCTCTCTACTGAATGCTGGTTTGTGTTTTGGAGTTTTCACTAGCTGCTTTTCCAGTGACCTTCATAGCAGTAAAATTCCACAGTGGAATCACAGATTTTTCTGATGACAAGTGGTCTCACATTCCCTCTGTCACAAAATTTGCATTAGATGTATCCTCCCTCAGCCAGGTGTCATGTATTTAGCAGTTACTAAGCACAAGCATGTATCAGGTGCTGGCCTAGATGCTTGGGATACATCAGTGACAGAAACAAAGTTTGCCACCCTGGTGGAGATCTAATCATGTCCCAGGATCCCTCCTCTCATCCTCACCCTCACATTCACAAGTCAGGGCCTAAATATGGGCTAAATCCTGTGTGTGCTGGACTGTGCTTAATCTATTTCTGCAGACACAGCTCATGTACAAATGGGCCCAGCCAAAAATCTGTGACGAGGACGCTGAGGGGGCAGTGAAGCTTCCTGAATCTGGTGTGAAGACTCGCTGCCCACCCTGCAACCCAGGCTTCTTCAAAACCAGCAACAGCACCTGCGAGCCCTGCCCTTATGGCACTTACTCCAACGGCTCTGGTAAATTCTTCCACCCTGTTGCCCACATTGCATTGACCGTCCCTCAGATCTACCGCATAGGCGGGTTGTGTGGACACAGAGTAGTAGCTGCACAGAGTCTGTCCTTCCAAGGGAGATATTAGAGAGTGAGCCACCTCTGGGACCCAAGTTCAGGAGATGAGAGAAGTCTGGGCCAGCCCCGGCTGTGGTCGGGGTCCTCTCTGCTGCATTTGCATATGTGACTTGGGCCTGAGAGGACTGACTCCTCACAACAGAGGCTTCTGCTACATGGCAGAGATGCCAGCTCGAAGGTCTGGGTGTAGGAGCTGGGATGACCAGCTTGACATAATCAGAGCCTACAAGCTATGCTGCAAAAAAGGAGCTGGGAGCGTCATACTGTATTTAATAACAATGTGACAACAATGTGAACTACATGGGTCAGAGGAAAAGATATATCTAAGTTTTGCAGTGAAAATTTTGGTGGTCAAGGAAGATGTCTGGAATATTAGAATGAAGGGCTCCTGAGCATTTCCATCTTGAGCTCACTGTCAGAATGTTTTGGAGTCAGTTGGATGTAACCATGCACGATAACGCTCAGCAGCCATTCTCCTGTGGCTGCCACTTGCATGTGGGCAGCAGCTTCAGGGGGGTGTTTGCAAGCTTCCCGCTGAAGGATGGGTCTTGTGGTTTCCCCAGATTGTACCCACTGCCCAGCTGGAACAGAACCTGTCCTGGGATATGAATACAAATGGTGGAACACACTACCTGCAAACATGGAGACGACTGTCCTCAGTGGGATCAACTTTGAGTATAAAGGCCTGACAGGTAATTGCTTCTTCCTGTACTCCCACAGGGTTTCTTCCAAGTTCATGGTTCTTCATAATAGTGATGTCTAAGAAAAATAAGCTAATCATGTCATATATTCCCTTGAAAGTTCCACTCCTTTGGGCACATATGCTGCCAAAGCTTATTTCAGCAACAGAAACAGAGCTCAGACAATGTGCATATGCCCCAAAGGTCTTCTCTGGCAGCTTCAGTCTTTGACTGCAGTAACAGGAGAGTGAACACCACTCCACAAGCTCTGGATGCCTCAAAGGACAGCACCATATCTCTCTTTCAGAATGTCATCTCGTGTGCAGTTGTCTTGTACCCAAGAGCACAAGGGCATTAACTCTCACTTTTCTTTTTGCAGGCTGGGAGGTGGCTGGTGATCACATATATACAGCTATTGGAGCCTCGGACAACGACTTCATGATTCTCACTCTGGTTGTACCAGGATTTAGGTGAGGAATACAAAGTCAAGGTGAAGCCCCCACCAACTTGGCCACATCCAAACCCCACATACTTCAGACTGTTGTAGAGAAGAGGGCATTTAGAGCTAGATTCTGTGTCGTTTCAGATCCTTACAGGGCAGAGGGGAGGACAATGATGGTCTGCTGTGGTTGACCCAGATGCTGACACATTCTTAGTTGCTGTCTATGTTGATTTATCCACCATTCTCTCATCCCTTCTAGCTTCTCCCATTGATTGGCCTCATCAAAAAGGACTTCAAAGACTTTTTAAAAATAGGGCCAGATATATCTACAATTCGTCTTTATTTGGGGCAAGAAGATTGAGAAGGATTTTTCCTGTGTTACCATTGTCTCTTAGCCTATGACCACAAGCAATTTGTTTGCCATTAAGACAAAAATTTTGGGGTTGTGGTTTAGTGCTAGAATGTTTGACTAGCATGTGAGAGTCCCTGACTTTAACCATAGCACCACACAAAAAAATTTTAAAGAAATAAAATTGAAAAATCACACACAAACCAATAAGCTCCAGACAGTGTGATGTAATGAAAAGAGGACTTGACTGGAAAACAGGAGCTTGAACTGTTGAATTGTGCCATTTATTGGCTTGGTGAACTTGGGAAAGTCATTTTGCCTCTCCAGGCTTCAGACTCCTGGCCTGTAACACTGATCTGTGATGCAAGTTTAGGTCAGGTTGTAATGATTCTTCCTGTTCATTGGTTAGCACAACTGTGTAGAAAGACCTGAGACCTGAAGCTCCTCAAGATTCAGACAGATGACTAAAGCCCAAAGCAGAGCCACAACTGGGTGTAGTGGTGCACACCTGTTAATCCCAGCACCTGGGAGGCTGAGGCAGGAGTATTGCCATGGGTTTGAGGCCAGCTGGGCTACAAAAAGAATTCAAGTCTAGCTTGAATTACATAGCAAGACCTCATCTCAAAAAACAAAATAACAGAAACAAAAACAAAACAAAACAAAACAAAGAAAAACCATAAATAGATTTCAAATGAACTCTTCTGCTGTGAATTGTTTTAAAGATGAGGAAGAGGGGCTGGGGATTTAGCTCAGCAGCATAAGCGCCTGCCTTGCAAGCAGGCAGTCGTGAGTTCGATCCCTGGTACCGATAAAAAGGAAAAAGACAAAAAAAAAAAAAAAAAAAGATGAGGAGGAACGACTGAGTGGGGTCCTTACTGCCAAGATGACTTCTTCATGCTTCCTTGGAAGTCCCTGCTTTTTACCTTGGGGATAGTGCTCAGCCAATGACAGTTGTTCCAAAAGTATGTTTCCCCTTCCCTTAACCCACATTACTTGACGTAGGCCAGAGAGATCCTATACTTGCAAGATGAGCAAACTTTAGGCTTTGTGAAGTAACATTCCAAAAGTACTGTCCAGTTTTCAAATCTGATTACCATATGTGTTAGTCAGCTACCTGTTACTGTAACAAAATGCCTAAAATCACTGATTTAAAGGAGGATATGTTTATTTTGGCTCACAGTACCAGTGCATGATCAGCTGGCTCAGTTGCTTTAGGCCTGTGGTGAGGTGGCATATCGTGATGGGGAGCAGATAGGAGAGCAAATCATTCACCTCCTGGCATCTAGGAAGCAAGAACTAGGAGAAGGGGGTATTCCAGTGACTTAACTTCTTCCTGTGAAGCTTCACCTACCTGCTAAAGGTTCTGTCACCTTCCATTAGCACCATAGACTAGGGACTAAGACTTTAACACATGGCCTTTGGAAGATGTTTATCACAACCATAATACTATAATACAGTGCCTTCGTGGACATGGTTTCTGCTTTCTCTAGAGGACAGATGGGAGACACTGGCTCAAAACACTGCAAGTTCAACTCCCATAAGTCTGGCAAAGCTGAGTAAATGTACAATTTGCATCTTATGATGATGCTTCTCCAAGTTTAGACCTGGGAATTCAGACTACCTGGGAATCCTACCTGGTAACACGCAGATTCTAATTCAGTGACCTGGGGAGGGCCTGATGCCTTGCATTTCTGATTAACTCTCAGGGCTGGTGATGCCACTGGTCAGCAGAACACTTCTGTGTTTCATAAAGCATGTCCATGTTACGCCTTTGGCTCTCACTACAGGGACCTCTCTCTTACAGCTCAAGGAACTAGTCTGGCGAGGGCAAGTTCAGATAGCTTCAGTGGCAAAACTGAACTTAGTCCACAGTCTTTCCAGTATACTCAGAAACTAATCCTGTCCCTTACATGACTCCTTGCTGGTTCTGGACTCTTCAGTAAGTACTGCCTGGCCTCTGGACTGACCTTTAATTTCTGCCCACACAGACCCCCTCAGTCAGTGACGGCAGATACAGAGAACAAAGAGGTGGCCAGGATCACGTTTATCTTCAAGACCATCTGTTCCATGAACTGTGAGCTCTACTTCATGGTGGTAGGTTTTCCTTTCTTCACTGGCTAGAGGGCTTCCAGGGGAGAGTCAGCCCCACTTGCCCCAGTGGTAAGTCAGCAGGGGATACCAGCTCTTAGCGATTCCACAGAGGAAGGGCCTGGAGTGACCCTCAGGACCTCCCAGTTTCACATGGGTCAAACCAACTGTGATGGCCAGAAGAATGACAGTGGGATGGATAATTCTGCCCCCTCCAGCCATCATGCCTTCCTCACTTGTCTGTCCTGGGTTCAGGGCATGAATTCAAGGACCAACACCCCTGTGGAGACGTGGAAAGGTTCCAAAGTCAAACAGTCCTACACCTACATCATTGAGGAAAATGCCACCATGAGTTTTACCTGGGCCTTCCAGAGGACCACACTTCACGACACAGTGAGTTGCTCCTCCTCTACAGAGCCTCACCTCCCAGAAGCAAACATTTGAACCAGGAGGACTCCTGGCGAGAGCTCATGTAGAAGCCCAAATTTCAGAATCCAAGGTGCAGAAGCATGTTAGGGAGTCCCACAGAGAACTGCCTAGTGCATCCCTCTGAGGGTCATCCAGCCTGACCTAAATGACCTCCAGGAAGCATGACACTACGAGCATCTTCAGGCACCTGGCTCCCCTTGCAATCTCAACCCATAGTGAAGTCAGACATGTTGCTTTTAGTAATAATAACTCTTGTTTGCTTCGCTTAAATGAATATAGGTTTATTACAGAAAACTTACAAAGTATATATAAGCAAAAGGGAGTAAAATCTATCAAAATCATAATAATCAGAGATAGCCTAGTTAATATATGGAGTATCTCCTATATAGTCTTTATTTCTTGACAGATACATGCTTTTCTACCTATTATAAAGAAAAGTCTTGCTTTTTTCATATAAATATGTATGCTATGTATTTTTCCATGGTACTTAATGTTTTTCCATATAATTTAAAATTGGGTTGATCTTGCTTTAAAATGACACATATATATGCATATAAAAAGCCACTGCAAAGTGAATAAAAAAAAACAGGCTGCCTCTAAGATTTTTCTCAAGTGCCGCATGATAAAACATTAAGAAGTGTTTTGTTATTTCCACTGTTCCACCCTCTCCCTTCTTGTTTCCTTGTCTCTAGGGCAGAAAGTACACCAATGACGTTGCCAAGATCTACTCCATCAATATCACAAATGTCATGGATGGGGTGGCCTCCTATTGCCGCCCTTGTGCCATGGAAGCCTCCGATGTGGGCTCCTCCTGCACTTCATGTCCTACTGGTTACTACATCGACCGAAATTCTGGAACCTGCCATCCCTGCCCCCCTAACACAATCCTGAAAGCTCATCAGCCTTACGGTGCCCAGGCCTGCATGGCTTGTGGTCCAGGGACCAAGAGCAACAAGGTGCCAGCAGCCTAACCTTCCCTGCCTGGTTGAATGGCCTCAGAAGGTGCTGGGTTCTGGGTCCTGAATGGGGTTCTTCAGGGTGGTCCCCCAAGCGCTCCCTCAGCACTCTTTTTAGGTTGGCATCCAGGAATCCCAGGCCATGGGTGGTGAGTTCTTAGCAGTAGGGTAGGATTTCCCTCCTTCATATACAAATTCCTTCAGTGACTGGTCTGGGCCAGAGGGTTATCTGGGGTCTGCGCAGAGACCCAAAAAGAAGGACTAATGGGGCCTGTGGCTCTAGTTCAGTAATGGATTTGCATTTTACTGATCACAGCCACATAGATGTACATCTATAAGATTTTATATTCCCAGGCCTGGTGGCAAATGCCTATAATCCCAGCATTCAGGAGGCTGAGAGAGAGGATAGCAGCAAGTTTGAGGCCAGTCTGGACTACGTAGCAAGTTCAAGACCAGCCTTAACCATACAGTGAGACCCTGTCTCAATGCTTCCTCCTCTGCAAAAAGTTATTCAGATTATCTGTGAAATATGTGTGCCATTCTACAGACCGCAAACAACCTCTTTTGGGTACCCTGAACCTTTGCCACAACCTTCTTCACCGGGAGCTCCCTCTGGTGGTATGGGAGGGAATAACAGTGTGTCAGATTTGCCACTCCGGGACGCTAAAACAGGGACAGAGAAGTGAAGCCCAATTCAGAGTTGTTTCCCACAGAGACGTCAAGGAAAAAGAAGCAGGGTTCAGCAGAAATTACAGTTTCTCTTTTGCCATCTTGAACATTTTTAATTTAGTGAATGCTTCATTATCTTCTCAAAAGTAAGAAAGGGCAGAGGCTGGGGTGGACAGATTGCACGAGGCTCTGTGTTCAGTCCTCAGCGCTGAAAAAAATCCAAGAGAGGTTCGGCAAAGAATACTGATATTTGGGAATATCAGAGCCTCACAATGGAAATATATGTACCAGAGTAAACTAAGGGCTTAGTCCAAGAGTTTGAGACAAGGAGATGTTTTTAAAGACAAAATTGAAGAAGATTAGATCAGATATTTCAAAACAGAAACCCTTACTAACAAGGGTGGCATCGGCCCAGGGTTGAATTGAGTACTTGCTGAGCAGATGTGCTTGTAGGAGGACTTTTTACATAAAGTTGTGGTGGCCGCTGTGCAGGTCGGTGGTGCTGGCAGAGTCCTTTTGATACTGACCATTAGGCAGTCATGTGTAAGAACCCTGCCTTTGGACTGGATTGGGGGGGGGAAGTCTGCTGCTCTCTGCTGTGGCCCCTCAAAGCCCAGCACGGCCAGCTGAGCTCACCAGATCCCTCTTCCCTCAGATCCACTCTCTCTGCTATAATGATTGCCGCTTCTCACGCCATGCCTCGTCCAGAACCTATGACTACAACTTCTCGGCTCTGGCAAACACTGTCTCTCTGTCTGGGGGCCCAAGCTTCACTTCAAAAGGGCTGAAGTATTTGCATCACTTTAACTTGAGTCTTTGTGGAAACGAGGTAAGTGGGAGTGAAAATTGGAAAGGAGAGGCCAGGGGCTCAGAAGCCAAAACTGGACTCAGGAGGAAAGCACAGTCCTTCAGCAGCGAGGGGCTGAGGAGGCCAAAGTTTTTAAAAATGATTTTAATTCTTTCTGAGGACTTTTCCTCCTAAAATTAAGTAAGCTAGATGATAAACATTTTGGAAAATAAAAATCTTTAAAACAAGATGCTTCTCAAATTTCCCCCCCACAAAACAATTACTTGTTGAGCATCTGTAAAAGTTTTTAGATTTTAGATTTTAAGATTAGATTTACGCAACTGTTAAAGGACATGAAAATATTGCAAAACCAAAAAAAAAAAAAAACTACAAAAAGGGAAATACTTCTGGTTTCAAGCATTTCAGATAAGAGACATTTAATCTATATGTAAAAGACCAGGAAGAGCCAGGCATAGAGGTACGTGCCTATAATCCTAACACTCAGGAGGCTGAGGCAGGAAGATCTCTGACTTTAAGGCCAGCTTGAGCTACATACTGAATTCCAAGCCAGCCTAAACTACATAGTGAGACCCTGTCTCAAAAAAAAAAAAAAAAAAAAAAACAAGAAGACCAGGAAGTGGCATTCACCTTGCATCTCGGCTGCTCAGAAAGCAAAAGGATTGACTGAACCCAGGAGTTCAAGGTCAGCCTAGCAGCACAATGAGACCCCATCTCATTAAAAAAAAAAAACCAGTGGGCTTTAGAAGTCACTTGTTTTCTAGAACCTGGATAAAATAAATGCTCCTTAGTTCATCTTTGTATATGTTTGCTGACAGTAGAAAAGAAACAACACGAAAGACTTATGTGAAAGAATGTCACCATAAGCTACTTCAGGCTCCTGCAAATATTTTGGATTCAAAATCCAAAGGCAGAAATGTGGGAGATCCACCACTGCTGCAAGTGACTGATTATATGAGCTGCAATTAGCTGTGGGAAGTTTACAAAGCTCGCTTCCAATGCACAAAATAGAAAGCAGCCAGGACAGTGACGGTGAACCTTTCAGAGCTGTCAGTGATATGAACAACCAGCTGTGACATTTGTGCTATGGGTTCATCACTACCGTGGTTTAGGACACTGAGTTTGTGGCCCTGCTAGCTGCTACCCTTTTAAGCACACAAAAGCACTGGTGTGTTTGTGCAGGGAACATGTCAAGGAATAAAGGAACCTATCAAACTTATAAATGGGTGTCTGCTTTATTTTTAAAAGTCTTGAAATATGTTAAAGTGAATCCTCAGAAGTAACAAGTCACCAGGCATGGTGGCACATGCTTGTAGTCCCAGCACTCAGAAGGCTGAGGCAGGAAGATTGCCGAAAGTTTGAGGCCAGGCTGCACTGCACAGGCTCTGTGTCAACCCACGTCTCTCCAAAAAAGAAGCAACAAGTAGAGGTAACTCAGAAAAGAAGCCTGATGAAAACAAACCCCATGTAGTGAAAGTTTCATTCAGGGATTTGGGAAAGAGGCAAAGGTGGGGAGTTTTGGGTATTGTGTCTTGTTTTCTTTCTTGGCTTCTTTAATCTTTTCAGAAATATTCTACAGATCTTCAGTTCAAAGGTTTTTTATTATAATATATAATTGTATTTCTGTTCTCAAGCTCATCTACAAAAATCCAAAGTCAGTGAACAGATGCCAGATTTAGCTCAATTTGTAATAAAATTTATAACACCAAAAATGTTATGCTTTAAATACTTATTCCACTTAAGTTTAAAATATTGAACAGGGCTGCAGATTTAGCTCAGCAGCTCAAGCGCTTGCCTGGTAAATGTAAGGTCATGAGTTCGATCCCCAGTACCAAAAAATAAAAAATTGAACAAATGATTTTATATCAGCAAACAAGTTATATACTGATATTCCACAAACTTAATGTTCTTGAAGGGACAAATATTTCCTGTATTATAGAAGTCTAAGGAAAGAGCCTCAGTTCCTACCTTCTTCCAAATTTCTACACAGTGTGATTGTTAAGGACTGGAGGAGAGGCAAACCTCTTTCTCTGTATGCACATATTTTCTTTAAAAATGGAAAGGACTCTAACTGCCTTCATGTCAGGAGACTGGTATAGGGTCTGTTTTAACCCTAGAAGTCTCTGTCTGGAAAATACTTCTGAAATAAACATGGTAGAATCACAGTACTGGGGAGATACAGAAATGTGAATCAGGCCAGACGTTCAAATAAATTTTACCAGCTTCTGAAATCAGTTGCACATTTCAGTTTCTTTTTTTTTTTTTTTAAGAGCAGAATATATTTATTGAGAAAAAGAAAGCTTCTATTTGAGAGGGAGACAGAAGGGGTCCCAAGTGAGGTGCCAAAGACTCTGACTTTTTTATAGTCAAACTATGAGTTGAGATGGGTCCAAGATGGGGAAAACTGGGAACTCACAAGGCAGGCAGGCATGAGGTGGGACAGGGCTATGGACTCATTAAAGAAATACAACTTTATAATTTCCCCATGTTTTAATTTAGATTTACCATTATTTTAACAAAACTATATAAGAGACAAAGCAATTATAAGCAATGGGGAAAGACAAAATTTGAAGCATACAAATTTGTTATCTAAATGAGTCCCATTCCAGAGTCTGTGAAACAAAGGCAAACTCGTACCTCTGTCCAGTGGTCTTGGTGGAAGACCTCCAAATGAAACTCCAACATACCGTATGTCTGGTATAAGCTCATGTTCTCTAAAATCAAAGAATGAATTTGACAAACAATGGAGGTTAAGTGCAATATATATTTATTGAGAGAAAGAAAGCTTCTGTTTGAGAGAGAGACAGAAAGGGTCCTGAGTGGGTTACCTACACATTTCAGTTTCTATCTAAAAATGAATTAAGAAGAACCTTAACTGATGGGGATGGTAGGTTAGAACTGCAACCTTAAACTTTGCTCACAGATGATTTCCAGGTAACTTGAAGGAAATTTAAAAAGTGCCTGGGGGCCCCTGAGCCAGAGTTCCAAAAGCTAGGCACATGGGTCTCATTTTTAGCTTTTTAAAAAATGTAAATGTCTAGTCACTAGGTGTGGGATGAATCACTCTGTTGAAACATACCATTGGAAGGCTGAACTTTTAGATGTGAAAGAAACTATTCCCTGCTCTTTTCTTTTGGAACTTCCTCTGTGACCATTTGCTGCTTCCCACACTTTCTCCCTGCCCCATCCCCATCAGGGTAAGAAAATGGCTGTCTGCACTGACAATGTCACTGACCTCCGGATTCCTGAGGGTGAATCAGGCTTCTCCAAATCCATCACAGCCTACGTCTGCCAGTCAGTCATCATCCCCTCAGAGGTGACAGGGTACAAGGCCGGGGTATCTTCACAGCCTGTCAGCCTTGCTGATCGTCTTGTTGGTGAGTAACCCAACTATTCCAGGATCATTTGAGTGTGTGTGTGTGTGTGTGTGTGTGTGTGTGTGTGTGTGTGTGAAAGAAAAGAGTGAGACTGCCAGGCCGGGGGATAAATGGCCTTCATCAGGGATCCTACTTGACTTCTGTTATCTGTTACTTCTGTGCCCAGTGCCCCAGGCACCTTTGGCAAATCTTTGGTTTGCTTTTCTAGGAGCCATTCAGGAACATGATGAGATAAAATAGGCTTGGATGTTGACAGGTAGTGAAGGAACTGAAGTAGTTGTGAGCTAACATTACTATTCAGAACTAATTAGGAACTCTTAATTCTGCAGGAGTGTCAACAGATGTGACTGTGGATGGAATCACCTCCCCAGCTGCACTGTTCCACCCGGAGACCTTAGGGATACCAGACGTGATCTTCTTTTTTAGGTGAAGATGAGAGACCAGCCTAATGCAAGTGAAACCTAGGACTCTCCCACAATTCCTATTGCATCCCTCCCTCTAGGCACATCCCGCTATCAAACTAGAATATGACTGAGTAAAGGCTGGTTGTTCCCTTGCCCCAACTACTTGGGTACCGGTGCAGTTCTGCCCTGGAGCAGGGAGAAGTACTAAAGAGCTACAAAGACTTCTCTTCTACCCCAAGAAGGCCCCAGTGTCTAGCCTTGCTCTCCTTGGCCACTGCACTTTCTCCTTGACTCAATCGCTCTATCCCTCTCTCCATAAATAGACAAAGCCTGTGTGTCAGGACAGTGTCTAAGTCCTGACTTGTCCAGAGACGGAATCATTCCACGTTGAATTTACTTAGTGGCTCCCCAGGAACACATTAGGGTGATATTTTTCTTCCCATGGAGCTGACTTTCCCTGCAGGTCTAACGATGTAACCCAGTCCTGCAGCTCTGGAAGATCAACCACCATCCGCCTCAGATGCAATCCACTGAAAATTGCTCCTGGAAGCCTGTCTCTACCAAGGTAATCCTTACAAAGTGCTGTAACTAAGGCCATAGTCTCCCTTTGCTGGTCTCCTTCCATCCCAAGAGCCAGAGATTACTGAAAAAGAGAAAGGTAGACAAATAGTTTGAGATTCATTAATGGGTTCTTGGAAGTAGAGTCACAGCCCCGAATCCTTGATGTTCACATAGGAAGACAGAGAGTGAAGGAAGAAGCAGAGCTTTCCTAACATCCCAGACCATCATGATGGCAGTGGCATAGCATGGTGGCTAATAGCTTTCTCTAAGGGCCACACTTGAGCAGCAGCTCCATTTACTAGCTGTGTTACCATGGATACACTTCTTATCTTCTCTAGGGCTATTTTTTTCTTACCTGAAAAATGAGCATAACAGTAAGTTCTCTCAGAGAGCTGTCCTGAGAGGCAAATAAAGCAATGAAGCTTCAGGAACTTTCTTGGAGGCTAAGCTGTTACCAAGATTAGTAATCGCTTAGTTGAGACCCAATTCTGAGTTTAACAGCTCAGTGCATCAAATCAAGACCTTTCAAAAAAATAGACCACAAGTAACACTCCCTCTTTTTATGCCCACATTGTGTCACCTAACACCTTGGGCACTGGTTCCTTGAGGAACACAGTTTGGGAAGTGCTGCTGAGAAACCACTGATCAGGGAGCTGAGGAACAAAGCGGAATACCGTGGCCAGCAGTGCTATCAGAGCATAAAATTACTCTTCTCGCCGTTGTACACATCACGGCGAAGTAAGAAGCAGACATCCTTCCTGAACTCCACCTCAGCTCTAATCCCATCCACTGGAAGCGGCAACAAAGTGCCTGTTGCAAAATGTCACATGTCCACAGGGAGGACGGGAGCCTCTGAGGGCGGCGGGCAGCCATGCTAAAGCTTCAGCATCTTCTAAATTAGCTCTCACCTCATGTCAGCAAAAACATAAGCAGGAAGAGAATCAGGGAAATTGAAGATCAAAGACTGAGTAAAGAGCTAGTTGGGAGAACCCCAGGGGAACATTCAGGGCAGAAGGAAGAGGAATCAGGCAGGCAATAGAAGCAGCAAACCTCTAGCGAGATCTTCCTCAGCTATCAAGCAAGTGAGCTCTCCGTTCTGCTTTGCTAGCATGTGCTCTGATGGGACCTGCGATGGCTGTAACTTCCACTTCCTGTGGGAGAGCGTGGCTGCTTGTCCACTTTGCTCAGCCGCTGACTACCACACTTTCGTCAGTAGCTGTGTGGCTGGGATCCAGGTAGGTTGCCCTCTGACCGGGGACTTCCTAGGTGGGAAAAGGATGAGCTCTAAGTTCCTTGTTTTTCTTCCCAACAGAAAACGACTTACGTATGGCGAGAACCAAAGATATGCTCTGGTGGCATCTCCCTACCTGAGCAGAGAGTCACCATCTGCAAAACGATAGATTTCTGGCTGAAAGTGGGCATCTCTGGAGGCACCTGTAGCGCTATCTTACTCACTGTCCTGACCTGCTACTTTTGGAAAAAGAATCAAAAGTACATGGAGATGGGTATTGGTGTTTGAGGATGGTGGGGTTGGGTCATTGAGCAGGGAGCTCAGTTGTGGGGCTTTTCTCTGGAGTTGGCCACAGAGCCTGTGACTCTGGCCAGAGACCTGTCGGACCATTTATCCAGTGTATGCCTTCGTTATCCTCACTCCCAAGCAGGGATTGTACCATGTGGTGATCTACAAATGACTGTTAGACTCTGAAAAGAAAGGAAAAGCAAAGCAAAGCAAAGTCTTCAGCTGGAAGTGTAGTTCTGTAGTAGAGCTCTTACCTAGCTAGCATGCAAGAAACTCTGCATTCAATGCTCAGTGAGAGAGAAAGAGAAGGAGAGAGAAAGGGGGAGAGGGAGAGGAGGAGTGAGACAAGTAATCCCAGGACTTGGGAGGCTGAAGGGGTAGGATGGAGAGTCCCAGGCCAGAATAACCATACAGGGCTGCATTGGGACGTAGCCCAGTGATAGAGCCCCCACCTAGTCTGCACGGAGCCCTGGGTTCAATCCCTTTTAGAAGGAGAAGTAGGAAAAAGAAGAGCAACAGGAAGAGGAAGAAGAGTCTGTCACCCAGGCATGGCAACATGTGTCTGTAATCCCAGCTGCTCAGGAGAGTGAGGCAGGAGGATTGCAAGTTCAGGGCCAGTAAAGCAACACAGCAAGACCATGTTGCAAAGTAAAACTTGAAAGGGGGCTTGGGATATAGTTTAGTGGTAGAGCTCTTGCCTAGCATGTGTGAGGTCCTGGTTTGCATCCCCTATACTGCAAAAAAACCAAAATGACAAACGTGGAAATAATGACTTTATGATTTTACTGTATTGTTATAAAATCATAAAAACAGCCAGCCTTAAAGATCACTGAGCCAGCAGCTAAGATGCCTTCTTCATACCCAGCCCTAATACCATTTTGCTATGCTTCCGCTTCCTTACCCATGACATGGAAGAATCTGTTTATAGCCCAGTGTCTCTTTCTTTGCTCATTATTCCCACATTCTGGGTCTTGTCTTTCCATTCTCATTTCACAGACTTGAATACAAATATTCCAAATTAGTGATGAATGCTACTCTTAAGGATTGTGACCTCCCAGCAGTTGATAGTTGTGCCATAATGGAAGGTGAGGATGTGGAAGATGATCTCATCTTTACCAGCAAGAAGACTCTCTTTGGAAAGATCAAATCATTTACCTCCAAGGTAGGAGACTGATGCACTAGGTTCAGGTTAGAGGGTCTAAGAGATACAACTCCTAGGACACTGAATGACCTTGCACTCTACAGACACCACCCCAGCTTCCCACACTCTTTCGTCCTGTCCCCCAAAATTCTGCCTTCTGTCTCCTCTGTGTCACAATATGCTTTTCCCTGGAGCGCAAGTCTGCTTATGACCAGGCTCCTCTCTCCCAACTTTTAGTTTTAATTTCCAGGAGTACTGAATCGTCCATCCCCTTTCTTTTTTCTTGGATGGGGGAGAGGTCATGTCTAGGATGACTTGTGGTAAAAGTGAGGCTTTCTTTTGACCATGGAGGGTGCTGTCCCCCAGGTGTCTTGGTGAGGCCCCAAGGAATGAGTCATAGCTGAATCCAAGGTGTTCACCACCGAGCAGTCTGAGTGGGAGGGTTGGCTGCGTGGGTGATGACTGAGTGTGAAGCTCATAAAGCAATTCAGGCACCACTGTCACTGGGCGTGGGGCCAGCAGAGAGCATCCAAATAATTCCTCAGGGCTACTGCAGCCTCGCCATGCCTGGACCTATACCTACTACGCCAGAACGAGCTCATCCAAACAGCTGTGGGTGGAGCGTGGTGCAAGGGAGGCAACAGTGTGAGACACGGTGGAAAAGGACGGTGGTTAGGTGTTTAGACCACTGAACTGTGTTCCCTCTGTGCTGGATGCCAGGGCGACTCTCTTGGTCTCTTTAGACCTTGTTTTGTTTTGTTCTTAACTACTGGGAGAACAGCCCACCTATAAACTCTTAGAATTTATCTGGGATTTCTAGAATTCAGCAAAGATGCTAAGCAGCAAATCTTTAAGATTTTTCTTATTTTCTGACTGAGCCTGAAGGGAGCAAAAAGAATAGGGAGTGTCTCATTTTTGTGTTTCCACAAAACCATTGGAAACAGGAATTCCACAAGGGTTCCTTCTGTCACCTATTTTTCATTTTTTTCTTTGTCCCCCCAAACCTTCCCCCCTCCCACCCCCGTGCAGCAGCCAGCTCCTGTCACCATCTCTCTTTCAGAGGACTCCTGATGGATTTGACTCAGTGCCACTGAAGACATCCTCAGGAGGCCCAGACATGGACCTATAAGAGGCGCCGCCAGTCTCACCTGCGTCCGTGACTTGGCATATCACTTTGCAAGCCTGTGATGATTTGGGTGCCAGCATCCTGCAATACCCACTGCTGGAAATCTCTTCATTGTGGCCTTATCAGAAGAAGTTTGAATTTCAGATCTTTGTTTTTTATAGAGTACCCAAACTTCGCTTTCTGCTTTCCTCAAACCTGCCAAATATACCCACACTTTGTATATTATTCCCTTGCTTGCATCTTGTTTCTTACAATGGTCCAGTCAACAGAGCCATAGCCTCCTCTGCCATAATTCTTAGAGCTCTGGAGTAAAAGTATTTGTCTCTTAAGTAACTCACTGAAAGGCAAGAATAGCTGGGGGTTTTCCTGGCCATATCCCCTCAGCTCATGATCTCTTTACAGAAGAGACTGGGCGAGTGGGAGATCGGGGTTCTTGGACAGATGATTCTCATGGACACCTGGATTCACTTCTCCTGGACAGGTAGCTCAAACTGAGGACAGTGGACAATCAGAGGGCAAGTTGAGGAAAGCCTGAGGAAGAAGAGGCTTGATAAGCAGAGAGAGAGGCAAGAAAGAAAGGAGGGTTTTGTTTTCGTTTGGTATTTTGTTTGTTTTATAACTAGGTATCTCCTTTTGTCCTCTTATAATAAATATATTCGCACTAATGCCAAAGGAAAATGTTTACCAAAAAAAATGTCAAAGTCCTGGTGGATCTATTCTCTCATTTATTTACTTATTTTTATCTCTCTGTGACACTAAAAACATAGGGAGGCCAAGGTTTTAATGAGCCTGTACAGGGGCTCCAGCTCATAATGGCTCAGACCTGAGGCAGTCATGATGTCTGCTTCTGAGCTCCACTTAACTGCTAAGCCACAGAATTAAAAACTTCTAGGCTGGTGAGAAAGGTCACTGAATCCCAAGCCCATACAGCAACAGCAGAACCAGACTTGTTTTCCAGAAGGCAAGAGCAGGGGACTTCAACAAAGGTGTCCACTAAACCAGGGTGCGTGCTTCTCACTGCTAAGCTCCTGTCCTTGCGTTTTGTGTGTCCTCCTTTCCTTCATGCACTAAAAAACTACAGAGAGTAGCCCCCATTTCTGACAACAGTCCCTTTGAAAAGTGAATAGAATGAGTGTCCTCTCTGATCCTTTCTCCCTTTCATTCTAACTATAATCTGTAAGCCTGAAGTCTCTAGAATGGTAAAACCCCGGCAAGACTTTCAATTACTTTTTTCTTTCTAATACTGGGAAGTCTCTTTCCCTTATCAAGCTAGATTAACCAGTGCCCATTGCCTATGGTTTGTCCCTGTGCCCCTTTTCCATCGGCCATTTGCTGACTGGACAGTCAGAAGAGAAAGGCATTTCTGAGCAGTTCATCTGCCAACAAAGTGGTTTTCGCATCTGATTGGCTACCATTGTCTTGGCATTAGTCTTATAAAAGTCAGTGTGAAGCGGAGTCTCATAACTTCTGGCCATCAGCATCACTGATGGCAGGAAGTCCCTTTGGCTCAATAAATCTAGCTACTGGTTTGAACTCACTGTGTAGTCCAGGCTGGCCTTAAACTCTTAGCAATCCTCCTCCCTCAACCTCCCTAGTGCTGGGGTTATAGGCGTCTACCAACATGTCTGAGTGGATAGTTTTCTTGGATAACCAGATTTCCCCCCTTGTGTGGTAATTAGATTCTTAGAACCAGGGGCCACAGTAGAATTCCTCCTGGGAGATGCACACTTATACACGAGTAGCCCCAAACTCCAGCCTTCTACAGCATCAACACCTGGGCATCTACTTCCTGCTAAACAGCTCCCTTTTGTGACAAGGGTCACAGAAGGGCCTTAGACTATTCTAGAAAAACTTTAGCCCTCTAAATTCTTTATTCTGCTATCTTAAAACTGAATGTCCCCAGAAGAACCTGAAACTCCACTGATTTAGTTATAGTACTTTAAGGGTCTCCTTTTTATTGGGCTGATTCTAAGCGAAGGGGGAGTCATCCTTTGCTTTCCTAGAAAATTACATGCTTTAGATTTTTAAGAGCTTTATTGAGCTATAATTCATACCATACAATTTGCCCCTTTAAAATGTACAATTCAATGGCTTTTAGGATATATTGTTTTTTTGCTACTGTTGTTATTCATTCTACATTTGCTAGGCTGGTGCTCTACCACTGAGCTACAGCCCTAGCCCTGTATATCCATTTTAGAACAGACAAATGTCAGATCTGCTGTGGGGAAAGCTTTAGCCCTTGACCCAGGACTAGAGTGGTTTGTACAGATATTGAGGGAGATGGTGCAGGTTTGAGATATAAAATATTTAAATCTCATTTAGTTACCTAGAGTCCTGGGACACATAAGTAACTTTCATTCCATAATCGACACCTACATTCACCTGGGAATACAAATACGATTGTGGTATATCTAAGGACCAGAGGATTTCTTATGCCAACAAAACATTTTGGGGGGTCTAACTCTATATTAAAGATAAGATGGACTATATTTATACAACAGAGACTTTGTAACAGATTTTTCAGCTTTGTGAAATTAATTTTTTCCTCATCAGGATTGGTTGGATTTCACTTTTATTCTGTATTCTAAACATGTACAGTTTATTAGGGGATGGGTTATTGGCATGTCACTCTTGGGAGGGAGTATGAAATAAAAATGTACCTTTTGAGTTGTTTTTCTTGAACATAGCAAGGTGGCTGGCTGGGTCGATGGGAATGTTAAGTGCCCTTGAAGCCTGAAAACAAATGGAGAAGGAGGCAGAGAAAAAAGCAACAGACTTCAGAGAACGCCGACCCAGGCTAGAACTCTCTCACCACCTGTTGACTGAGATATCAGTCAGTGAGCAAAAGCCTCAGTTTCCACAATAATAAAATGCATCTAATGACCCTGAGGTTAGGTGAGGAGCAAAGGAGGTAACACTTAGCATCCGTGCTCGCTTCCCCCTCAGTGCACCCATCTCTTGTGACATGAAGCCAGTCACACAATAACATGTCCAGGAATGCAAGTACAATTAGCTTCTTGGGGTAGGAAGTGGATTATTACAGACTAGATGTAGAAAAATCCTAGAGGATATCCAGTATCTGCCGCTTCCCAAGTTGGCTGGATTGTCTTGCTTCACTATCTCCCTTCAAATTGAGGGCAGTAGACTTCTTAAAATAAGAAAGGTGTCTCAGCTGGTACAGACTTTTGAGGCTGAACAGCACCAAGCGCCAGATTGTCTACATGGGGGTGATTTTTAGCCTCTAGACTTTTCCTCCTGCCGCTCCCACGTCTGTAGTCAACTCTTTCTTATGCAGCCAGAGTCCTTTTTCTAACACAAATCTAATGACACTCAAATATGTAAAAGTGTGGTGGTTTGTTATTGCTGGCAAGCAGGACTAGTTATCAGCAGGGTACATACACATCTGTACGCCAGAGGTATGTTTATAACACATGTCTACTTTAACTGAATGATACCTGGCTTGTATTAGCCATTTAATATTCTGACTATCACTCTTGCTTAGAGTCCATACTCAAAGAAAGTAGGAAAGGAAATGCACTCATTTGGTGTCTGTGGGTCATGTCTGGACTGAGTACTTTCATGGCATTGCCTTACTTAGATCTCAGAACAGCCTATGCAGACACTGTGCCCTTTCTACAGAAAGAAATTCTAGTAATGTAGTCTGCAGGGTCTCTAAAGCCCATCTTGTCTGCTCTACACAACACTGCTTAGACTCCAACTACACTGCCTGCCTAAACACACACTCCCTGTTCCACCCGTCTCCTCCCTTCCTCTTCCCTGCCAGACCCCACCCAGCCTTCCCTGGCTCACCCACAGCAAAACAAAAGCAAAATACATAGTAATTCAACTGTATATTGTGTAGTATCCCAGTAAAACAAGCCATGGACATAATCATGCTTAAAATGAGCAGAGTGGGATGGAAATATATAATTTTAAAGATTACCCAATCCCTGATTTTAAAGGAGGGGAGGGACAGGCAGTTAGATGTAATGGTACTTGCCTGTCTGTCATCCTAGTCCTCTGGGAGGCTGAGGTAGAAAAATCACAAATTTAAATCCAGCCCAGGGAATTCAGTGATTTAGTGAGACCCTGCCTGACAAACAAAAGTACAAAAAAGGACTGGAGATGTAGCTCGGTGCTGAAGCCCAGGGTTCGAGCCCCAGTAAGGGAAGGGGTGGCTAGGCAAAAAAAATTTTAAGTATAGTAATTTGGTCTAGAGCCATAGATGTAACCTCAGTGGTAGAGTACTTACAAGTTAGAGCACCTACAAATCCTGTGTTGATCCCCAGTACAGGAAGAATAAAACAATTTGGGGCCAGCTCAGCAGCATAAGCGCCTGCTGATCCCCAGACACCCCCCCCCCCCCGCCAAATCATAATTTGGTCTAAACTTTAACAAGAAATTTAATGAACTAAGCAATGACTACTGAAAAGATAAAGAAATGAATTTGGGTGGCAGTATTGAACCCAGGGCCTTTGCAATGAGCTTCATTCCCTTTTTTATGTTTTACTTTAAGACTGGGTCTTGCTAAGTCACTAAATTGCCACGCTGGGCTCAAATTTGTGATATTTCTGCCTCAGCCTCCTGGAGTGGTGTGATTACAGGCATATACTTCCAGGTTTGGCTCACAATGCAAAATTTAATGGATCATTTAAGAGTTATTCAATAATTATAAAGTAAACATTCCCTCTTACTGACTAAGTTAACAAATCCCATATAAATTGCAACACCCTACACAGTGATGGCAAATCTGTGGCACACGTGCTGCAGTGGTCTGCTTATTATCACTGAAAATTCTAAGAGTCCTCATCACTGCCCTACACGATACAGTGTGAAAGAAGAATGGACATCTTACCACAATTCTATCAAAAGGAGAGACTGGACAGGCCCTGCGGCCACCATTCCCCAATGCCTGGTAGCTTTCTTTGACCCATAGTATTGTCTTAGAGACCTCCTCAGAAGTCCAAGGATTCAGCTTCTTTTTTTATTTTTAATTTGAGACAGGGTCTTAAATCCTTAAATAGTTCAGGCTGACTTAAAACTTGTGATCTTTCTGCCTCAACCTCCAGAGTGCTGGGGTTATAAGTGTGTGACAACAAGCCTAAATGTTAATGTAGTTTTGTTTTGTTTATTTGTTTGTTTGTACCAGGAATCAAATTCACAACTGTGCGCTTGCAAGGCAGGCGCTTATGCCGCTGAGCTAAATCCCCAGCCCCATAATATAGTTTTTAACCTCCCAAAAGTCTATGGGACAGGAAAGGACACAAAAAGAGTAGATGTTAAGTCAGCTAATTTATATTATCTACTATACAAGGGTGGTAGTTTCAAAATGTGGTTTTTCTCCATTAGGAGAAATATTAAAAAAGAAGAACCAAACCTAGGAAAGATTTAACACAAAAAAAGAAGTACCTGATAGAATACAACATAAAAAGGATTTTTTTAGCTCAGCGGCATAAGTGTCTGCCTTGCAAGCAGCAGTCGTGAGTTCGATCCCTGGTACCAATAAAAAGGAAAAACTCAAAAAAAAAAAAAAAAAAAAAGGGAAAAAAGAGGATTCAGTCAACAGGTAGATGGAAGATTAAGTCTTATAAAGTAAAAGGGGAACATTTGTCTCCAAAATTGTAAAGGAGTCACAGAAGTGTTGCGGTGAGTTCAGCTGGGTGGCCCCAATATCTTCAGTGCAGTAGGAAGTAAAGTCATCTGCTGCTGGTGGGCAGTGAGGGTCTGAAGTTTTCAGTGAATGGGAAGGATTGGGAGGATGACAAATGAACTGAGCGTTTGTGACAGAAAAGTGAAAGGAAAGAGCCCCAGGATTTCAGATGATGTATTTGCTTCCATGTTTATAGCAGCACAATGTGTGTATTTTTGTGGATTGAAGTATTTAATAAAAACCAATTTTTACGTTTGCCAGCTATACATCAGACAAAGGATTACTACTGAGAACATATAAAGAATCCCAAAAAATCAATCCTCCCAGATTTAAAGACCCAATCCAAAATGATGAAGAAATACAAACAGCAAATAAATATGTGAAAAAATGTTCAACACCACTGGTCATTGAAAAAGTGCAAATTAAAACAACATTGAGATTCTACTTCACCCCCAAAATAATAGCTAATAACAAGAAATCAAGCAATAACAAATGCTGGAGAGGCTGTGGGGAAAAAGGAAGCCTTCCCCACTGTTAGTGGGAATGCAGACTGGTGCAGCCACTGTGGAAATCAGAGTGGAAATTCCCTCAAAAAACTAAGACTACAAGTCCCATTCAACCCAGCTATTCCCTTTCTGGATGTCTTCCCAGAAGAATTAAAAACATCATACCACAGTGATATATTTGCTTCCATGTTTATAGCAGCACAATTTGTAATAGCCAGATCTTGGAAACAACCTAAATGCCCATCAACTGAGGAATGGATAAACAAGATGTCATATTTTTATACAATGTATTTCTCAGTCATAAAGAAAGAGAAACTAGAGACTTTTATAGGTAACTGAAGGCAACTCGAGACCATAGTCATAAGTGAAATAAATAAGACACACATGTGTAAGCATCATATTGTTTCCCTAGAGTGAGAAGCTGAAAGAAACAACACATGTGTATGTGTGTATATATAAATATGTATATTAAAAAAACTAGTTAAGACAGATATACCACTGATTTCTCTGAGTCCACAGAAGAGAAAGATTTGTGCTGGTATTGTTCAGACAATTGAATGCAGAAGTCTTGTGCTCTGGGTGGATTTGGGGATGACAATGCACAAGTATGTACCATTGTTACCCTGAATTGACACTGATTTGAAATTTTGTTTTAGTTTTTTTTATTTTTTTCTCCTTAAAATAAAATAGATTTGAAAAAATAGAATCCTAGACCAGTTCTGAACCCTCAAAAATTTTTTAAAAAATCTTTCCAGCATCCTATGTTAACTGCTAAAGTGGAATGTTTGCCTCCTCCCAAGTTGGCTGCGGTCCATCCCTGTTCTCAATGTCTTTCTCCTCTCCCTGGTGCAGGAGCATTTGAAAGAAAATAAACCTTCAATCTAAGTTCTCCAGCTCATAACTGTTAAACTTTAGTCATGAAGGGTGTCAATTTTGAAGTTGTACTGAAGTCTAAATACTTTCTTGGGGCCAATTACACTTAAAGTGATAGGACATAAGGTAAATAATTTCCATTAAATCTCAACAGCAATAGAAATTTAAAAGTATGTTTTTTTTAAATGCAGTGATCCAACATGTATTTCTTGGCTGCATATCATCCTAGGCAATAGAAGAGCTATAAAAAGATCTAAGCATGCCGCCTTTAGGAAAACTGGCTCATTCTGTGAATAAAAATAAAATGGAATCTTTATCAGATATTACTTACCAGGGTAAACTCAAGATGGAGTGAAGATCTAACAGAAGGTCTAGAAACTTAGTAGCAGAAAATATAGGAAAATATCTTCCTGACCTAAAAATGGGAAGAAGTATTAAATAAAACCTGAATGCACAAAGTAAAATAACATTAATAATGTCACTAATTTGATTATATCAAAATAAAAGAAGCAAAAAATACATTTAAAAGAAGACAACTTGGGTAAAAAGCATGTTCTATAGCCAATACAAGATCAATAGAATATAACAGGAATCTTTGCAAAACAACTGTAAGAAAAAGAAGAATATCAACAGGAAAAATAAACATATACAAAGGATATGATAACAAGGAAATCCCAAAAGTTACAAGTTGTTGAAAGGATGAGCAAACTGAAATGACCTTGAGCAATCACTTCACACTCCTTATCGTGGCAAGGGTTAGAAAGCTGGATGATGCAGGTTGTTGGAGAGAACTTGGGGATGGGTGGCTAGTGGCACCTTTCTTGAGCTCTTAACAGGAGTACAGACCAGACTGGAACAGTCCTTCTGCAGAGTGACCTTGGAATACTCAGTCAAATAAAGCACTCAGCCATTTCCACTCATACATTTATGCCACAAAACAACAACAGCAACAAAAGAATGAGGGAAGAGGGCAGTGAGAGATGGAGAGGTGTGCTTACCACATGGCTTCATCTCCACACACACACTTCCACTGGTTTTAGCCAAACTGAACCAAGGGGTCAAGTTAGACAGCTTTCCTAAGCCTCCCTCAGGGTCTCTCCTTGTCAGCTTTATCATCCCCCTTAACCCTGTTCTAGATCTTGGCAGAAGCTCGTCGGGGAGTAAGAATAGTGTAAGAGAAAACAAAACAAAAACCCAAACCCCCAACCTTTTCCCGTTCTACTCACACTCTCAACTCTAAATATTTCTGTGACTAGATGTTGCAGTCAAGAAATTCTCCGGTAGACATCACCTGGGTGTCCTATAACTCAGTTCAATTCTAGCATATCTATCTGGGGACAGTGTCAGAGCCCACAGGTTCAGGGCTTAGCTCTACTAGACTGCCCTCTCCGCCCACTTCAGACACCATGAGCAAGTAGTAGGTTCATCACCCATACTTCTGATGACTGGCTATATACTGGGATGCTAACTGCCCTCTCCCAGGTTTTGATTAATTTGCTGGGAGAGGTCATAGAACACAAAGAAGTGGGTTTCTGGCTCACTATGGAGAATATTGCAAAGGATACAGATTAAAAAACCAAGGATAGTGCCAGGGCTTGGGCTGTGAAAAGCACTCAGCATGATGTCAAGGCTCTGCTTGGTTTGTTAGGCTCAGGCAGAGGATGCCTGTCTTCCAGATCAATCTGGTTCTGCTCAAGGACTTCATTAAGGTCCTGAAGTGGTGAGGACACTGTTGGTGCCTTTAGCAAGGGCATGCCTATGTTTCAGTCAAATCAGAAACCAGACTGAAGCTGTTATTTAAAATGAATACCTAATAAGATAATGAAGACAGAGTGCCCATAATTTGTGAAGATGGAAGAGCATTTGGTGTATTACGAAAACAAATTGCTTCCATCTTGTATTTTGCCACCTGTGGAAGTTTCAAGGTAAAACAGAAATTCTAGTGAGTAACAGTCCTAGAGCTGAGACTAAATCTGATTCAGCTACTTTTGGTTACTCAGTTATTTAGGTTGACTCAGACATTATTTCAGTCACCTTCAAAAGTAAATGCATGTGATAACAGGGAAAAGTCATGCCCTCATAAGAGATTATTCCTCTTCTGCACGATTCTGTGTTACATTTGCCATCTTTGTATTCTTGTACTGCATTGCTGTGCTTCAGCTTTATGTCACTTACATCAACTTATACCGGGACAGAGGTAAACTTGACTTCGGTTGACTGTGTTGTTACTGTTGTGGTTGGTGAGCACTTTGGTTTGGCAGGTAACAGTTTTGTTCAGGTACTTTTACCTTGTAAACAGACTCAGTGATGTAGCATTTTGGTACTGTGACTAGTATAGGATTTCTAAATGTATCTGTGATCTTTGGCTTTCTGAATATGATACTTTGAGGAGAAAAATCCTTGACTTGTATACAAGGAGACCAGCTTACACAGTCCATCAAATACTTCTGCTTCCCGTAGCCAAGTAAGTGCCCCACCTCCTGCTGGAATATAATTGAGGGAGAAATAAACTAAATGAAATGTGTTTGTACCATGACTTATTGCCAGTATCTTGAGAAGCATTAGTTTCTAACTCATGACTTTTTTAGTAAATTGGTACGTTTAAATTTTTACTGCTTTTTTACATAAAGCTGGTGATTTTCTTGGATTTTTAAGATATAAGTGTATTCTTGGGGGCTGGGGATTTAGCTCAGCGGCATAAGCGCCTGCCTTGCAAGCAGGCAGTTGTGAGTTCTATCCCTGGTACCGATAAAAACGAAAAAGACCAAAAAAAAAAAAAAAAAAAAGGTATAAGTGCATTCTTGGATGTAAATTTGAAAGTGCAGGGTCCTGTTATAAGATGATACACATTTTTTAGTGGACAGTAATTGCTTCACTAAGTTGTTTGTCTTCCAAAGTGTTCATAACCTTATGCCTAAATATATCTTTACTCAAAGAACAATTATATTGTCATATCATAACAGGAAGAAAATCTGTATCTGTAATATATATTATTGTATGTTGTACAGACCATACACTTAAGACTTTAAGTGTATCTTGATTACATAAATTGTATTTAGAAAGCACATATTTATGGGGCTGGGGATTTAGCTCAGTGGCATAAGCGCCTGCTTTGCAAGTGTGTGGTCGTGAGTTCGATCCCTGGTACTGATAAAAAAAGAAAAAGACAAAAAAGAAAAGAAAACATATTTAGTTCAAATTTTGTGTCTAAACATTGTTATAAAATGTTTAATTGCAAAGACTGGATATATGTTCTGGTTTTTGTTTTTTAATGGCCTCCTGTGCTTGATACCTGTACTAAAATTGTGTTAAGAGTAAGAACTTGGAAGTTTCTAACAGATGGGTAGTTCATTTAATACTGTTGGTGCATGAGATATGAGCTTCAGTGCTGGTGGCTTAATAGGCTTCCTATGTAAATAGAAAAAACATGGTTTAAGGAGATGCTTTTATATGTATATGTATCACTCTTAGTTTTTGTTTTGCTTTGTTTTTTTGTACCAGGAATCAAACTCATGGCTTCATACTTGCCAGGCAGGCACTTATGCCACGGAGCTAACCCCTCAGGCCTGGCATTACTCTTACTGATGTATCTGTTGTTTATCTTTTTGCTTATGTCATGTAAGTACAGATTAGGACCTGGTCTTCCAAAAGGTATAAAATAATATACACCCCCTTTTTTTTGCAGATCATATTCAGAAGAATAAAAAAATTAAGATTGTATTTTGCTTGTGAAACATTTACCATTTAGAGTGTTTAGAGACAAATGTTTACCATTTAGAGTCCGTGAAATTGCTGCTTTAAGGCTAAGTTGTTTGTCTTCCAAAGTGTTCATAACTTTAAGCCTTAAATATATCTTTACTCAAAGAACAATTGTATTGTCATATCATAACAGGAAGAAAATCTTTATCTGTAATATATAAATGTGATTTAGATTCCATTTTTCTTAATAGTCTTATTTTACAAATGAATGATTAAGAAATTATGTATCACAAAATAATTTAAGTAATATTATGAGTATACCATTTGCGCACTCTTTTGGTTATATTCTGCATACAAATGCTTATTCAAATTTTTCTTCCTACTCTTTCCATTTTACAGGGATCTAGACTTCCTATATACAATATGATAGCTTATGTGAAGCACATCTTCCTATTGCCTTTTGTTACCTTTATTCACGACAAAATGTCAGTATGAGAATGTATATGTCTTATGCAACAAATACAGAAGTTGAGTGTACTGATTGCCATGTTACAAAGAAATCTTCATTTTAAGGCAGGAACAATTCAAAGGAGAATTGATTTTCAAAGCAGGAAATAGAATTATAATAGTGTTTAAATGTTTAACAAGAAAAATGTTTTAAAAGAGAGAGAGAGAAAGGCCAGAAAAGGCCATGGATGAGTGAAGCAAATCTAGGGGGATACAGAGCTTGTTCCACTGTGTTCAGCAACTGAAAAGTTAATGTGTTCTTGTTTTAGAGTTGTGTTGTTGTTGTCGAGCTTAATGTCCAGTATCTCAACCCTTCTTCCTGGATACTGATACTGACCACCAGTCCCAGCCCTCCAGTCCTCTAGTCACAAATCTGGTGACTGGCCCCATCCTGAATCACCCATTAGCATAAACTCATTAAAGGGTTCACTGTGTATAACAAAAGACCCTCAGGAGATTCCAAAGGTTTTAGGAACTCTGTGACAGGAATCAGGAACAAAAATCAAATATATTATACCACAGACAACTATGCCATACCCTCCTCACTGGAGGCTCCTGAAGGCAGCATAACACCAAGAAGGTCTTAGTTCACTTAGCTCAGGAAAGGTTTTGGAGACAGGGCTCCAAAGCTTCTGCAAAGCAGAAGGATGGGTAGTGAGAACAGACCTTCTATTCCAAAATCTTGAAAATAATTTGTCATCAGAGGGTCTCTTGGATAAATCTGGCTTCTTTCAATAACTAGAATATTTTATTGTTAAGGCCTAAAAGCTATGAAATAAAAAAATGATGAAATCTTTGGAAAGGGATTTTCAAACAGACCCTAAACGCAACTTCACTATCTTCTACTGTTTTCAAGTTTGCCAAACATTGTCCCCTTTAAAGAGCCTCCTCATGTTTCTCTCTCTCAAAGATTTCACCTGCACTTTCCCCACCCTGTGAACTTAAAGTCTGGTAAAGGGATAACATGAAAATCAGATCAAGAGAAGTATTCCAGTCGAAACACCCAATCTCAAAAGAAAACTGTCATCTATGTGGACATCAGCTTCCAAGAGAGGGTGTCAATGAACAGGCCCTGCCTAAACTGTCACACACCCTTCAACATAAGGAACCTGGGGTATTTACGCTTTTAAGAGACAAGAGAACCCTTACAGAAAGGGACTGAGCCAGGAAGAAGCCACAAGCTGCAGAAGCCGGGCTGGGAGTGCACCTCAGTGATGCACTGGGATAGCGCTGGGACAGCACGTAAGAGACCTTGCCCCCAGCACCAGAAAAGAAGGACAGAGAAAGGAATAAAGAAAGGAAGGTAGTACGGACAGACAGGGAAAGAAGGAAAGGAAAAGAGAGAAGACCAGAGAGGAGAGGAGGGCCCGGAGGACAAGACTGAAGCCCATCCCACCGACGCCACGCCCCCTATCAGCCCCGCCTCCCGCAGGACGCTTCCGGTCGAAAGGGGGCGCCTGCGTGTCCCCGCGGCGCCTGCGCAGGAGACGGGTCAGCGCGCCGGCGCAGTGGGTCGGTCGCAGAGTGGCTGCTGCGGTAGGATCCTTACTTTCCTGAGTGTTGGCCCAGAAGAAAGGAAGATGGTACTCGATCTGGATTTGTTTCGAGTGGATAAAGGAGGGAACCCAGACCTTATTCGAGAAACGCAGGAGAAGCGCTTCAAGGACCCAGGACTCGTGGACCAGCTGGTGAAGGCAGACAGTGAATGGCGACGATGTAAGTGTCGGGATGCGCAGGGTAGCCTCCCTGATCCTATACTGAGCTTCGACTCTTGACTCTGATCACCGCTTCCAAGGGCACAGCCTCTGACTCTTGTCAGATCCCTTCTCGGGCTTCAATGGCTCCAGAGCTCTCCGTATTCCCAAAACGGGCCGGGAGCCGGTTCATTCCACTTTTCCTACCAGCTCCGGCGGCACAGTCTTTTCTGCGCGTGCTCCGGGCTGGCGGATCTGATTGAGACTGGAAATGATCAGGGCTCATGCGCCTGGAGAGCTGTCAAGCCTTCCAGCCCCTTGGGTAGCCAGAGGAAAATCAAAGCAGGAGGTTAGCGTGGGGTTCCCTTTCCTAATGCTTATTTTTGATCGCCTTCCGCCCTTTTCTCAACTTCAGCAAGGTCAAGATAGTTTCCCTCCGGATAGGATCAAAGGTTGCTGTCTGATAGTTGAGACATCTGCAACAAAATGGGTTAACTCTGCCTACATTGACAGCATTGGGGGACTTGGAAGCCACTCCAGGCTAAAAGCAATGATTTGGGACCATCTTGTGACCTATTGACATATCTTTAAGAATCAGAAAAATCTTTAATGTGGTCATTAGACGAAAAGAGAGAGGCGTGGTGAGGCAAGAAATACTTGTCATAATTGAGGTTGTGATTTGTGGAAATTTTCCAGAAAAAACATTGGCAGAGTTGAAGAAGAACCTAGAACTGAGCTGGGCATCTTGCATCTTATATAAAGTTAAATAAAACCGTAGCACCCTCTGCATAGGTTAACTGGAGTGGCTACTGGCTGGCAGGATGTTGTCAAGAACATGTGATTCGTTTTGTCTGATGCAATAGACCTGCAACCAGCTGAGAGCCAGATTTATGACAGCACACTGCGAAGACAGTTTCAATCCATGAGTGTGATGGATATCTCTTTAAGAAAATGGATTTTTAAGTTTTAAAGGGCCTTGTATGCCAAAAGAGTATTTATTTAGCTTAAGTTATCTGCTGATTGTGTACACCTTATGTATTCTGGCATTTTGTGAGCTTCCGCACTTGAATCTGAAGTTTTAAGTTGCAATGAAATGATACTTGCCACATTTTTGTTTAGGATAAATATAAAGTGAGCACTACTGTACCAAACCAGAAGTCAGGAGTGTCAGATTTTATTAGTCCAGCCATTGGTCAGCTGCTAAATGTCTTTTCATTGTATTAGTCTATCTCGTGTGTGTAATGTAGACGCTTGTAAAAAGTTTTGTTACTTATCTGACAAATGGATATGTGGTGAATTCTTTAGGGACAGAGATCGAGTTATATGTATAGGACATACATACATTAAAGAAAAAGATTACAACAATTTAAATATTTTAATTGGCTTTATTTTGCACTTTTGGAATGGATAACATTTTATTCTTTAAAATAGAATGAGTATTCTCATGAACTTGAATTTTGTTTTGTTTTGAGGCAGGGTCTTGCTATGTAGTTTGGCTGACCTTGGTTTCAGTATGCAGCCCAAGCTGGCCTAGAATTTGTGATCTTCCTGCCTCAGCCTCCCAAGTGCTAGGATCACAGGTGTGTGCCACCACACCTGACTCAGAAGAGGTAGGTTTGCAGAGAAGGGTTGAGGAAAGCAGAAACAAAGAAAATATAGGGGCTTTTCAAAGGTACTTTCTCTGTAAGGTGAGAGCAAGAGACAGAAAAATAGAAATATAATCGATTAGTCAACATCAGATTGTGTGTTTACTTTTGTGAGGCTAAAGAATGTAAGGATTAAAGCAGAGGAAACTTCATTGTCATGCAGATTGAAACTAGCTTATTTGGGAAATGCGTTTCCTGATTTCTGAGAAGGTCAGATAACCAGTTATGAGTTTGGTTTTGTGGAGTTGTAGCATGGATAACTGCACTTGATTTTTAGTCTGATCTTTTGGAACCTGTTACAGGAGCCTAATCCAAAACAATAGTTTCCTGCAGTTTGTAATATGCATAGATAAAATAGATATGCATAGATAAAATTTTAATACCTAGAACTCCCCTGTTTCTCAGGAAGGACTTCATGAAAGTTTTTTGTCAGTGCATAAAAATTATCTGTGTCTTTTGTTTCGCTTTTTGTTTTGGTAGTGGTACTGGATATGGAATCCATGGCCTTTACACTGAGCTACATCCCGACCAGCCTGCCTTGCCTTGCATTGTCTTTTTCTTTCCTTTTTCCTTTTCTTTCCTTTCCTTTGCCCGGGTTGGACTTGAACTTTGATACTCCTTCAGGCTTGCAAAATGCTAGCTAGCCTCACAGGTGTGTGCTGCCACGCCCAGTTCCTGTTATTTTTCTAGAAGTTTTATGACTTTTGCATTTAGGTATGCAATTTATCTCATTAACTTTGGTGTATTATGGTGCTTACCATGGCATGCTGGCAGCTCATGTAAGCTAAGAATTGACAGTTTAAGCCTGGCGTGGTGGCTTATGCCTGTAATCCCAGCACTCAGGAGGCTGAGGCGGGAGGTTCATTGTGAGTTCAAGACCAGCCTGGGCTACAAAGTGCGCTCAAGGCCAGCCCAAACTGCATAGCGAGACCCTGTCTCAAAAAGACAAAAAAAAGAATTGACAGTTTGTCTGTTTGTTTAGTATGGAGAGCCAGTTGCTAATGATAAAACATTGCAAATTTAGAAGGAACTTCTATAGAAAAAACTTACATAGCTAACATCTTTCTCAATGATGAAGTAGGAATGCTATTCTCCTGAGGTTAGGAATAAGATATGATGTTCCTTTTCACTACTTCTAGTCAGCATCATGCCAGAAGTTACAGATGATATGATATGAGACAAGCAACAAAGGAGAGATACTTAGAGAATTAAGAAACTTCTATGATTAAGTAACAATTACAAAGCATTAGATAACCAGGGATTTATTTAAGAACTTCACACTGAAAACTGTAAGACATTACTGTGAAAAATAAAAATAGTGAAGGAATATATTATCTTCATTGACTGAAACATTCAGTATTGTTATTTTTTAATTGTTTTATTTTCTCTAGTTCTTTTTTTGTCTTTTTGAGACAAGGTTTTGTTACTCAGTGTAGGCGGCCTTTGTGGTCCAGGCTGACCTTAAATTTGTTTTTTTTTTTTTTTTGTCTTTTTCCTTTTTATCGGTACCGGGGATCGAACTCACGACTGCCTGCTTGCAAGGCAGGCGCTTATGCCGCTGAGCTAAATCCCCAGCCCCGCTGACCTTAAATTTGAAGGTATGCTTCTGCCTCCGTTTCCTGAATGCTGGGATAATAGACGTGTATCATCATGCCTGGTTTTTATTTTATATTCTTGACACCTATCACAGTATTAGTGTGTGTGTGTGTGTGTGTGTGTGTGTGTGTGTGTGTGTGTTTTCCTGACACTGACATGGCATATTGGCATATTGGCAAATAGGATGGACTAAATGAGATTTTAAAAAATTTGTTTCAAAACAGTAGATTTAAATGGGGCATGGTGGTGCACACCTGTAATCCCAGCACTCGGGAGAAGGAGGCAGAAGGATCATTGCGAGTTCAAGACCAGTTTAAGCTATAAAGTGAGCTCAAGGCCAGCCTGAAGTGCATAGTGAGACCCTGTCTCAAACAAACATAAAAATAGATTTATAAAAAATTTTAAAATAGTAGAGACAGATCCTGTGTACAATTCACTCAGTTTTGCCTGGTAGTAAATTTTATATAACTAGTACAATATAAAAACCAAGCAATTGATGTTAAAATCCACAAACCTTAACTCAATTTTCACCAGTTTCACATGCATTCATGCTTGTGTTTCTAACTACCAGCACTTTCAGCCCATAGAACTGAATGTCCTGGTACTTTCCTCACCACAAATGTCTTTCTTTCTGTCCCTTTGTAGTGCAGTATATTCACTTTCCCTTCCTCCGTCAAGTCCCTGACAATGTCTAACCCTGTTGTCCATTCATAATTTTGTCAGTATGAATAAATGAATGAGAAAATACATCATTTTATGCTAAAATTTAAAGGTACATTGAAGAGAGAAGCTTGCTGACAACATCTTAAGTTGCAGTTACGTGTAGGTATAATGTCATTTCTTGTTATCAGTTTTACTTCTCAGAAGATTGATCTCTTTTTCCTACTATGGTATCCCAGATGCTTAGATTTAAGAGATCTAACGCTTAGTAATCAGAGTCAGACTGAAACTATAATACATATAAATACTTTGTGGGGGGCACTGGGGATGGAACTCATGACCTTGAGCTTGCTGGGAGAGCGCTTATACCACTGAGCTAAATCCCTGCCTATAATACCAATATATTAATTAGGGCTATTTGACTAAAGAAAGAGGAATACAAATTTGAGGCTAGCCTGGGCAACTTAGTGAGACCCTGTCTCAAAATAAAAAATAAAAAGGACCAAGAGTGTGGCTTAGCACTCCCTGGGTTCAATCCCCAACATGAAGAAAGAAAGGGAGAGCAAGAACGAAGACAGGAAAGGAAAGGAGAATGGAAGGAATCCAAATTACAAATAATAAGTTATTATCAAGGTTGTCAAGTGAGCTGGACGTGGTGGCAAATACCTATAATCCCAGCACTCAGGAGACTGAAGGGGGAGAATTGCTGTGAGATTGAGGCCAGTTTACCAAAAAAAAAAAGGCTGTCTACTGAGCATGACATTGGTGAAAAGGGAATAACATTTACTATTTCTAACAGATACAGCAATCAGTTTCATAATAGAAATACAATGCCTCTTTTTTAGATTTCCATATACAGCAATACAAGTATATAGGATCTTTGAATCTTAAGATAATTGGGCAGGTTATAATTATGTGTATATATTAAATTTCTCACCTGTGTTATTTTACAGTGGTATCATATGTTAAGATTTTTAAATTTTCAACCTCATAATTGCTTTTTCCTTGTCTCCAAATGCTGGGGATAGCCTGTTGTTGTCACTAGTCTGTGCTTGGAGTTCTAAAAGCACCAAGATTTTACAACTTCATTTTGTCTCTGCCTACGTTTTGACCTTAGTTGAGATCCATAGGGTGTTGGTCAGCTTTCCATATCTGTAACAAAGTACCTAATCAGCTTGAAAAGAAGAAAGGTCTATTTGGGCTCACATTTTTAGAAATTTCAGTCAGTGGTTGATTGGCCATGTTGCCTTTGGGCCTGTGGTGAGTCAGTAAATGATGGTAACAGTGTGTGGTAGGGAAAGCTGCTAACCTGCTGGTCACCTCCAAGCAAAAGTAGAAAGATGGGAAGGGGGTGGATTTCCACTACTTTCCTTAAGGGAATGCCCAGTAACTTGTGATCTCTTACCAGCCTTCCTACTTTTTTGTGTGTGTCTTTTTGAGATAGGGTTTCACTATGCAGTTCTTTAAGCTAGCCTTGAATTCACTTTGTAATCCAGGCTGGCCTCAGACTCCCAGTGATCCTCCCGCTTCAGTCCTGACTTCTTAAAGGTTCCTCCGGCTACCTGTAGTGCCCAGATGAGAACCAAAAGTCTTTTAACACATGAGGCCTTTGGGGACAGTTATCCCCAAGGAATAACCTTGGTACCAAGGAACCAAGATCAGGGAATATCTTATGTGTGTTTCTTTGATATAGTCTTTGCTTCTCTATTTTTAGGCAGATTTCGGGCAGATAACTTGAACAAGCTGAAGAACTTATGCAGTAAGACAATTGGAGAGAAAATGAAGGTAAGAGGTCTGAGTAACAGCCTGAGAGCTAGAGCAGAGGTATTTGATCTTGTTTTTAGCTGATGTTTACCGAAATTCTAACTCAGCATCTAATTCTGGAGATGCTCAGTGTCTTACAGGGGGAAAATTAGTTTAAAAAGAAAGAGAGATAAAGAACTAGGGGACATCTTCTGTTTTTGGTAAGATTTGTTCCACACTGGCACTCATCTACTCTTCTGTGTGTGTGTGTGTGTGTGTGTGTGTGTGTGTGTGTGTGTGTGTGTTTTTCTAATCGGTACCAAGGATTGAACTCACGACTACCTGGTTACAAGGCAGGCGCTTAAATCCCCAGGCCTTTTTTTAACTTTTTGAGACAGGGTTTCACTATGTAGTTCAGGCTGGCCTTGAGCTCACTTTGTAACCCAGGGTGGTCTCGAACTTGCAATGATCCTCCAGCGTCAGCCTCCCGAGTGCTGGGATCACAGGAGTGCGCCACCATGCCTGGCTATCTGCTCTTCTATTTTTGTTGTTGTTGTTGTTGTTCTTCTATTCTTACTAATAGGAATTTTAATTCCACCAAGTCATCCTTTTCATTTCTTTCTTGAGTTTGACCTATGCTGCTGGAAAGCTTTTCTTTTGGCAGACTTTAGAATTTCTGACCCAGTGTTGCCCTGCTGCACTCTGAAAAAAGCAGATATGTAGCCTATGTTTTGGGTTGGCCTGCTGTTAGCTGCTTGATTTTTAAGCAAGTTAACTTCTGAGCCTCAGTTTCTTTTATCTGCAAAATGGTAGCACATTTACCTGTAGAATGAGATAGCAAAAAGTAAATTTCTTTTAAATGTAATAAACTTGGCACAATGCCTAGAATATTATAATTGTTCAGCACTGTGACAGACGGGATAGAAAGTGGTTATTAGATATCCCAAAATCCTGATGTTTATGGAATATTAAATTTCAGTTCAGCTTATGCTTTGATAGCCAAAATAGTTCTTGGTTTTAACCTTTCTTAAAAAAAAATACCTCTTGACTCTTAAACACTAGTTTAAAAAGCATGTTAAAACTGGGTATGGTGGCCATGCAGTATTCTGGGAGGCTGAGACAAGAGGATCACTAGCAGAACCCAACCTGGGCAGCTTAGCGAGTCCCTATCTCACAGTGAAAAATTTAAAAAGACTGGCAGTGCAGCCCCAGCCCCGTGTGAAGGTCCTGAGCTTAATCCCAGTACTGCAAGAAAGACAGCAAGCAAGTAAGCAAGAGAAGGGCCAAAAGAAAAAAAAAATGGAATGCACTCTACAATCTAGGTCATTTAAGGTATGTATCTGGAAACTAATGCAAAAAATTATAAAATTTTGAAGCTGGAATCAATCAAAAAGCATGACAGAAAGATAACCTTGGGCTTCTAGCACCTTACGCTTCATGATAGTTTATATCCTTCTCTTGAACAAGTTTTTGTTTTCTTTTGAGGACTGAACCTAGCACCTTTGCCCTGAACTATATCCTTAACGACCCCCAGCCCTGTTTTAAGACAGTCTTGTTATATAATCCAGGCTTGCCTTGAACTCAACTGTAGAGCCCAGACTGGCCTTAAATTCCTGGCAATCCTCCTGCCTTAGCCTTCTGAGTATTGGGATGACAGGCTGTGCCACCATACCCAGCTCCCGGCCCTTTTTATTTTTTTATGTATTATATATATATATATATATATATATATATTTTTTTTTTTTTTTTTCCTCTTTTTTTGCAACAGGGTCTTGCTGTGTAGTTCAGGTTGGCCTTGAGCTCACTAGGCTGGCCTCAGATTCATGGCTATTCTCCTGCCTCAGCCTTCTGAGTGCTGAGACTACAGGCATGCACCACCATGCCCAGCCACTAATCTTTTATTTAGAAACAGAATCTCACAAAATTGCCCAGTCTGATATTGAATTTATGACCTTCCTGCCCCAGCTTCTCAGACTACTGGGATTATTGGTATACACAGCTGTGCCAGCTCTTTGACAGTATTTTTACTTTTCTTTTTAATGAATGGATTTCATTTTTGCAGATTTGTACATGCACATAAAATCCTTTGATCATTTTTAGGCCCATCTACTGTCTTTCCCTGCCCTCCCTGCTAATTTCACATTGAGGACTGGTTCAGTGTGTAATGTTACACTTTGAGCTGTGATTGTCCGTAACATGCAGTTTTCTTCTTCATGATGCTTAATCATTTGCAGGTCAGAGGCCCAATAGTTTATTAAGGCCCTTCGATACCCCTGCCCAGATGTTCTTGGGGACCTGTACATAGACAGTCCCAGCTGGGTGTTCTTTGGAGCAATAAGTTGGGAGTGAGTGTTTTTATTTGCAATGGCATTCTTAGGCCCAGCTTTATTGCTGGCTCTTTAGGTCCTTTTCACTCTTACTGTCCATTGGAATAGGTGTAGCAGTGCTTTGTGGGCACTGGAAAGTATTCACATACTTTCATAAACACTTCATTTTGGTTTTGATCTCTGCCGCAAACCTAGAATGTAGGTATTACATTTATTTTTTATCAGTCTTCTTTAGAGAGTAAGTGAATAGACTTAGAATATTAAGGAACTTCCCTAAAATCAGAGACTAAGTCAGTTGTAGAGCCAGACTTTAAACTCAGAACTTGAATCTGTTGTCTCAGAGACTTATCAGGAGGCGTGTGTTGCTACCATAGGCTCACACTATCTTTAATACCATTACACATCCACATCCACTATTGTATCTGTACTGCAGGGCTAGGGCACCCATGATCCCAGTATAATCCAGCCCTGTAGATAAAGGCTGAAGCATGAGGATCGTGAATTTAAGGCAAACCTTGGCAGTGAAATTAGAAATGATGATAAAAGAATGAAGAGGGAAGATGGTGAGCCCTGGCCTTGCCAAACTGCATTGGTTGCCCTAAGCTTAGTTTCAGATTAATGATCTCTTTTCATTTCTCTTGTTTCCCTTGATGCTCTCATAGTCCCTCGGTCCATTCATTTTCCCTCCGTAGCCTGAGTGCTGAGTTTGTTCCTAGTGAACACAAGGACACACTCTCAGGGCCTGCTTTTGATTCTCCTGCACATGAGCATTTCAAATGCATTGTCCTGTGAGTTCCATGATTCTTTCCATGTCCAGGCAAAGCCATGCTTCTTTTCATGGTCTTGATATTAACCCCCTCACCCCCAATTAACAGATTAATTGACTTGTCCAAGATCAGAAAGCTAAGAAACAGCAGTATAAAGACTGTTTTTTTTCTTCTTGCAGAAAAAAGAGCCAGTGGGAGATGATGACTCTGTTCCTGAGAATGTGTTAAATTTCGATGATCTCACTGCAGACACTTTAGCTGTAAGTTACAGTCCTTTTCTAAGTTGGAGTTGCTGCTCTTTTGTCCTAACTGCATTCCTAGGCAGCAAGTGCTGACACTGTTCTACACTTCGGGCACAGCCTTGGTTTCCTGGCCCTGGGCGGTGTCCCTAGGCACTTTTGTTGTACTCTGTGTTTATTAGACAGCAGACGGAAACAGATGAACTGGAAAAGCCAAGGGTAAGAAAAAAGGAACTGAATCCGTGTTTGGTTTAGGTAATTCCATTTCTTACTCTATTTCATAAAGTAAAAGAATTTCTGAATTTACTGTAATTCATTAAACATCCATGATAGTGTCCCTACAGCAGTAATTTTTCAAGTGTTTTTATAACTGAATTTAAAGCTAAAAATATAAACAAAATTGTTCTCAAAGATCCTATTTGGGGACCTGATCCTGTCTAGTGCAGCCTCTAAGTTTCCCTCAAGAAATCAAAGCACTTGAGCCGGGCGTGGTAGCATTTGCCTTTGAGACCAGCCTGGATTACAAAGTGAGCCCAAGGCCAGCCTGAACTGCATAGTGAGACCCTGTCTCAAAAAGACCAAAAAAAAAAAAAAAAAAAAAGAAATCAGAACACAGCTTGAAGCATGTGCAGTAAGGTACGTGAAAATAAACTTAAGACAAGACAAGGTCTCTAATAAAGTTATCTTCTCAGAGAACATTTACATGTATGTGCCTAATAGAAAGTTAAATTTGTTCTATCAGGAAAATGCAGAGTACAAATTAAAGGAAAGTTATCTTGGAAGAGCCACAGTATTAAAATTCCTTGGTTGTATAGGAACAGTAAGGAGTGGCCAGAAAATATTTATCTGTGCTTTAGGTGCCACCAAAGGAAAATGCCAATGAATTTGTGTTTTGTTTGGTTTTGTTTTGTATTGGCAATCAAACTCAGGACCTTGCACTTGCCAGGCAGGCACTATGCTGTTGAGCTATGTGCCTGGCCCGCCAGTGGATTTGCAAAGCAAGACTCCGTAATCTCTATTTGTATAAAATAAATCTCAGTTCTTTGAGGGCCTTCATTTTCAATTTTTAAAATGCTATCAGGCATTGGGGGTGTAGCTCAGTGGTAGAGTGTTTGCCTAGCTTGTGTGAGGCCCTGGGTTCTATCCCCAGCACTGCAAAAATAGAAATATATGTTGCTAGAATGGTTGTCCTTGTTAGGGTACCAGTGATTTATTCTTTGCACTGTTCTTGATCCACATGTCCTGGGTCTAAGACTCTCCTGTGTTCATTTACAGAACCTAAAAGTCTCACAAATCAAAAACGTCCGACTCCTCATCGATGAAGCCATCCTGAAGTGTGATGCAGAGCGATTAAAACTGGAGGCCGAACGGTTTGAGAATCTTCGAGAGATTGGGAACCTTTTGCACCCCTCTGTGCCCATCAGTAATGATGAGGTAGGCAAGGACACCTTCCATGGCTGGCTGAGGGGCGGGCTAGGGTGGAAGAGACCATGGGACAGGAAGCTGGGCCACGCTGGTGCTTGGTATCACAGGCAGGCTCTTTGTACTTTTCCTCTGCCACCAATTGAGCATTTCAGGAGTCAGATCCTTGCCTGATTGGGGACTAGCAGAGACAGCAGGTAGGAGGAGACTCCTGGCACCGAAAGCTCTTCTAAATAGGGCTGCTGTCCTCCACTGCCTGTTGCCCCTGGTAGCAGCTAGTCCTGTGGGAGGGATCTGCTAAAATCAACGTAACCCCTCACCCACACCCTGTTGGGAAGCTGCAGGTTGAAGGGAAATCTGCATGATAAAAGTTCCCTGCTGGGCGGGTGCTTCCCCGGCACAAAGCTGCTTGGAGCCCAGTCTTTGTTCCCTGACACCCTAGCGTGGCAGGGCCCATCTGTGCCTCTTTCATTCATTCCCTGGTGAATGTTAAACTCACTGCAGGCTGGGGTGTGCAGAGGCCTCGGAGCCAGAGCAGACTGGGAGGTCAGGGCCTGAGCCCGCCTTCATGTGGCCTGAGACCAGTGAGAGCCTGGAAAAATAATCAACATTCTCTTCTGTACCCCAGGCGATACTGATTGTCTGGGGGCAGTTGTCCCAGTGCACGATTTTTAAGGAGTCATTTAAAAGGGTAACAAAACGTAACAAAGCCCAAGAGACTAATACAAATCTCCCAGAAAACCCCAATTCAATTCCCAGTTTCGTGGCTAGAATGGCTTCTAGGACCTTGTAGCCTACTGTTTCTTGGTGAAATAGCAAATTCTCTTCACTAGTTACTGTATACAATAACCAAAAACCTAGTGTTTGATTTAAGTAGTGGCTTCCCAAAACTAACTTTCTGTTGAGCGGAGTTTGGAAAGATGGAGGTTGTAGAATTAAAGAGATCATGTGTCTCTCTTGGTCTTATTTCTTTAGGATGCAGACAACAAAGTAGAGAGGATTTGGGGTGATTGCACAGTCAGGAAGAAGTACTCTCATGTGGACCTGGTGGTGATGGTAGATGGCTTTGAAGGCGAAAAGGGGGCCATAGTGGCTGGGAGTCGAGGATACTTCCTGAAGGTAAGATCTGGGAACAAGTGGGGTAAAGAACTAAAAAACAATTGCAGAAAATCATAATCATATTTAAAAGGCCCTAAAATCCACTACTTGTGCAGCCTGTCTGTAAATATGTAGCAATTAGAGGCAATTCTCTCTCTAAAGCAAGAGAGTGCTTACCCAGATTCCAAAGAACAAAAGCCATTCAGTGATCCTCCATAATAAGTATATTTTGCTGACTGAATCAGAACAATCTCTGCCTTTGAGGGACTCACAGTCAGTGGACAGTCAGACAAGAAACAAAGAGCTGAAACCCAGTGCAATAAGCTTGTAGTCTGAGTAGACCCAGAGAGTACTTAGAAACTGGGTAGATGGAGGCAGTATCCCGTGCTAACTGGCGCAGAAGGCCCATGATCAAGGATAGCTTCCAAAAGATGTGATGAAGTGATTTTGGAAGTAAGTGTGCACTGAAGTATGTACTACCTTTATAAATGAATACAGTATTTTGTGAGTTAATTTAGGGAAATGTCTTTGCACTCTGGATGAACAACCATTCCCTTATTTTATTGTTTCCCTTATTTTAGTCTCCTAAAGATAATTTTTCAGTATGCCTATAATCCCAGCACTCCTGAGTCTGACACAGGATCACCAAAATTTCAAGGCCAACCTGGGCTCCATAGTGAGACCCTCGCTCAAAAGAACAACAAAAAATGATAATTTCTGTGGATAAGGTGCCTGGATGACAGACTGCCGGGCTTTTTGGAGTTAAGAAGGACACTAGTGGTAGTTGCAGTTTTTCTTGGCCTGTGTTGTGGCTGTTACCAGTTGTGCCCAGTTGTCCCTGGTATGAGTTTCAGCAGGTGAGTGGGATGGTGACAAGGCCGACAGCACTGTGCCTCTCTTCCTTTAGGGAGTCCTGGTGTTCCTGGAACAGGCTCTCATCCAGTTTGCCCTCCGCACCTTGGCAAGTCGGAATTACGTTCCCATTTACACTCCCTTTTTCATGAGGAAGGAGGTCATGCAGGAAGTGGCTCAGCTCAGCCAATTTGATGAAGAACTTTATAAGGTAAGTAGTCTGGGGTGGCCTGGTAGAATAACTTAATTATGGAGCTTTCCTTAAATGACGCAGAGTGGTGCTATCTAACTTTCCATCTAGCTTTGGTGCTATCTAGCTTTCTGGCATATTGGAAATGTTCTATAGCTATAGTTATCAAGTGCTTAAAATCAGCCTAGCTATGACTGAGGAAGCAAATGTTTAGTGTAAACAGCCACATATAAGTGCTGCTGCTGTATTAGATGTGATAGCTCGGACCCCGGAATAAAACCCAAGGAAGCAAGAAATTAAAATTTGGGGAGCAAAGGCTTTATTTTAGGCCAGGGCTGGTGATGCAATCCCCGGGAGCCAATTTGGAGACTGTGCGCCTCACAGCTGGGGGATTAGGCTTTTAAAGTTGAAAAACCACAGGAATGTTGTAATCACTGACACAGTTAGGTAGCATCTGGGCTTTACAGAATTTCCTATAATTCCTTGAAGTTAAGCATTTCTTAAAGAACAGCACATTTTATTACAGATAGCCAGATGAGGGGTAGGGGAGAGGGTTATAGGAAACTGATACCTAAGGCTTTTTTACAGCTTTCTCAGGGAATAGAAACTTAACCTAGAAAGATGGGGGGGGGGGGCTGAGCGGCTACACAGAACAGGAATGAGGCGCAATGATTAGAACTAGGCTATAACATTAGACAGTGTGGATACAGAGCCTTTTTCATCTACCCCCTAGTAGTCTGTATATTTGTCACCAGGTACTTATTGGGTACTTGGATAAAAGAAAATACTGCAAGTGAAACCAGTCTCCCAGCCCCCTTACTATGACCTCCTACTGCTGACTTGGACACTAGAAGCTTCCACAGGGCAAGATGTACTTCCTTGGGGTGACTATGACTTACAGATCATGGCTCCTCATTAACCATGACCATCTTAGGGAGAGTCAGGGTATTCAAACTGAGACCATTCAGAATATCATTTTGGTCAGCTTACCGTTACACCAGCTGCAGCACTGTAGTCTGTCCAGCACTCAGAATTCTTAGAGCTGGGCTTAGTGGTACCTACCTATAATTCTAGCACTCCGGGAGGCTAGAGGTGGGAGGATTGCAAGTTCAAGCCTTGCTTAAGCAACTTAGCAATTTAATGAGACCCTGACTCAAAAAAAAAGGAAGAAAGACTGGAGATGTAGCTACGTGCAAAGGCCCATTTCCTAGTACTGCAAAAAAAAAAAAGTTTTTCTAGAATGTTTCTGCTGTAGGCTGTCTTTCATGGCAAATCTACCTCTTACTAGTCCCTCTCATTTAAGACTTATTCTGTTGGAAGTGAAAGTTTTGTTCTTATTAGCAAGTGCAGTTAGGGTCATTGATTTATAATTGGTTGCATAATGTTTGGCAAAATCAACATAGCTGGAATTTTCAGCTCTCCCTCTACTGAATGCTTAGGGAACTTCCTTTCTTGCCAAAAATAAATAATATAAATCACCTTTATCCTCCTGTATCTATACCGCCTCAACCCCCATTCTGTGTGTGTGTGTGTGTGTGTGTGTGTGTGTGTGTGTGTGTGTGAGAGAGAGAGAGAGAGAGAGAAAGAGAAAGAGAAAGAGAGAGAGACAAGATCTCACTATGCAGTTCAGACTGGCCTTTAGCTCACTTTGTAGTCCAGGTTGGTCTCAAAATCAACAGTCCTCCTACCTTCGCCTCCCAAGTGCTGGGATTACAGGTGTGTGCCACCACACCTGGCTTCCAACTCCCAGTCTGAGCATTGAGCCCTGGGCTTCCCCCAATGCTAGGTGAGCACTCTACAGTGAGCAGCGTCAGCCTCCCAGGGCTACATCTTTTTTTTTTTTTCCTCATTGTTTTCTTTCTTTCTTTTTTTTAATCGGTGCTGGGGATCAAGCTCACTACCAAGTGCTTGCAAGGCGGGCGCTTATGCCACTGAGCTAAATCCCCAGCCCTTCGCATTGTTTTCTTCAACATGTAAGTTGTTATTTGTTTGTTTGTTTGTTTATTTATTTATATTTTGTGGTACTTGATATGGAATTTAGGGGTATTCTACCACTAAGCTATAACTCAGCCTTTTAAAAAAATGTTTATTTTGAGTCAGGACCTTACCAAGTTGCTTAGGCTAGTCTTTAACTTACAATCCTCCTACCTCAGCCTCTCAAGTGCTGGGTTATAGGCATTTGCCTCCATACCCAGCACCATGAGTAATCTTTAAGGATTAGGACCACGAGCCTAAGTGCCAAGCATGCCAAAAGGATTTGCCACTTAGTAAATGCCTTATAAATCAACATAGTTTTCTTGCACATCTGTCAGTATTAACCATAATATATATATTCTATACATATAGATACATAGAGACTATATATAATATTATATATAGATTGATCAATCTGTCTTGTCTATTCCTGGTTACTGGAAGTAAATTCAGGGCCTTTGTGCTGAGCTACATCCTCAGCCCTGTAGCCTTTTTATTTTTTATTTCGAGACAGAGTCTTTCTAAGTTTCTTAGGCAGGACTTGAACTTGTGATCCTACTTTTTTTGTTTTTGGGGGGTTTTTTTGGTTGTTTTGAGACAGGGTCTCTCTATGTAGTTCAGGCTGACCTTGAGCTCACTTTGTAGCCCAGGCTGGTCTCGAACTCACAATGATCCTCCTGCCTTAGCCTCCCCGCCAAGTGCTGGGATTACAGGCATGAGCCACCACGCCAGGCTTATGATCCTTCAGTTTCATCCTCCCAGAGTTCTGGGATTACACAGGCTGTGACAGTATACCCATTTTATTGGGTGAGTGAAGTGAAAAGTATCTCCATAATTTGCATGGATCTCTGTCATATTAGGGACCCCAACTCAGTCATACCTGTGTCCTCCCTTGTCTTCTTAACATTGCCTCCCCAGGAAGAGACTAAAGAAAATTCTTCCTTCCCTATTATTGATGTCTTTCCTGGAGTTTCTTAGATAGGCTGTGTCTTCCCTCCATCTTACCGAGCATAGGTCTCTCCTCCAGGTGATTGGCAAAGGCAGTGAAAAGTCTGATGACAACTCCTATGATGAGAAATACCTGATTGCTACCTCGGAGCAGCCCATTGCTGCTCTACACCGTGATGAATGGCTGCGGCCAGAGGATCTGCCCATCAAGTATGCCGGCCTATCCACCTGCTTTCGCCAGGAGGTGGGCTCCCATGGCCGTGACACCCGGGGCATCTTTCGAGTCCATCAGTTTGAGAAGGTGAGTGGAAGCAATGGGGAGCAGGAGGCTTTATCTCCCTGTGCAGATGGTCACAGGAGAGGCAGCGCCTGTGTTCTCAGGCCTACCCTGGCTCCCTCCTCTCATCCCCAAACCCTTTTCCTCTCATCCCTGCACCCTTTTCTGTGGAGAAGAACGTGGTAAGTTTATGGTAAAGTGGCTTTGAATATAGACCAGAACCAAACTGCCTGAATCCAAATGTTGACTCCACCACTTACCATCTCTGTGACAAGTTGCCTAACCTCTTTTGCTCCCTTTCTGTCTCTGTGAAAAGAGGATGATGGTCTCCACCTCACCAGGCCAGCTGTACCGGCCTGTGTAAATCACTTCGCACAGTAGTTGGTAAGGGCAGAGTCCATGGTGGCTCTCTGTCAAGCTGGTGACCTTGCTGTTGCAGACCAGTCTAGGTGAACTCAAATGCCTCCTCCTGGGGCCCTAGAGATGAGGTCTTCATCGCCAGGCTGTCTCTACTTTAGTTCTGCAGTTTATTCACTGTTCGCCACTGTCTCTGTCTCCATGGGCCTCTACAGATCGAACAGTTTGTGTACTCATCACCTCATGACAATAAATCATGGGAAATGTTTGAAGAGATGATTGCCACTGCAGAAGAGTTCTACCAGTCTTTGGGGATCCCTTACCACATCGTGAATATTGTCTCAGGTAGGGGATCTGTTGTCTTCTCAGCTTCTGCTTCCTACATCCAGACCCTGCCTTCACCAGCCATGCTGCTATACAGAGAGAGCTAGTAAGATCCAGCTCGATACCCCATTCATTAACACCCTTTGCACTCTGGACCGTTTGGTCATAAGACCTGAGCATGATCTCGCTCCTGGGGCTAAGATGTAAAGAATTTTTCAGGCTCATTGGAGGTTGGCCTTCTGAAATACCATGCCTCCTTCCTGAATTCTGTGTTTTTCCTTACAGGTTCTTTAAATCATGCTGCCAGTAAGAAGCTTGACCTGGAGGCCTGGTTTCCAGGTTCAGGAGCTTTCCGTGAGTTAGTCTCTTGTTCTAACTGTACGGATTATCAGGCTCGTCGGCTCCGAATCCGATACGGGCAGACCAAGAAGATGATGGACAAGGTAAATGGCCCCTGTGAGGTGGGCAGTAGGGCCTTCAGCACAGGACATGAGTGTCCTGTCCTGTGCCATCTCTCAGCCCTGGCAGAGGCACAGTAGTTCTCAGCATCTTGGGAAAATCTAAGTTTCTCAATCTAGACCAAAAAGGAAATCTGGGAATGACTTCTGTATTAGGACTGGGTTCTCTTAGAAGCCTGAGTCTAGCTCTGTTCTACAAGGTAATTCTAGCTTTTCTCTTTTCGGCTTTGTTTTCCTAACTCCAGAGAAAGAATAATCTCCGTTTATCTACACAGAACAACTTGGTGGCGGTGTCTTCCCTCTTTTCGCCCAAGAAGGTCGGGTTGTAAGCTCATCTCTCAAACCCAATCTTCAGCCCTGAACTAAGTCAGGCTTGTCATGGGTTAAGAACAGAGTCGCAGTAGTATTTTCTTCCTTCATGCCAGCTCTCCTCACGATAGTGGGATTTAGGACATTTCACTCATACAGACATGATGAATCTCTCTAGAGATAATCTAATAGGCAGTAATACTAAACCAGCTTTTTTTAAAAGGTTGAAAATGTCCAAGTGTGGTGGTACACACCTATAATCCCAGCAATTGGAAGGCTGAGACAGGAGGATCATTGCCAGTTTGAGGTCAGCCTGAACTGCATAATGAGACCTCATCTCAAAAAAAAAAAAAAAAAAGGTTGAAAACAGGTAGAGCCTGTCATGTTGATGTGAATAGATGTAGTTGGGGGATTTCTGACCAAATGGATGGTTCCTGGTCAGCAGTAAGACCAGCCAAAGGTTCATTTTTAACTCCCCTCCTCTCTTCCCAGGTGGAATTTGTCCACATGCTCAATGCTACGATGTGTGCCACTACGCGGACCATCTGTGCCATCCTGGAGAACTACCAGACAGAGAAGGGCATCATTGTGCCTGAGAAATTGAGGGAGTTCATGCCACCAGGTACAACTCCCAGCTCAGCTCCTCTGCCTCTTTCCTCTGTTTTCTCACTCTTGTGAATAACAAGCCCCTTTTGGAAGGTACATTCCTTTTATCAGCTCAGCAGATAAGAACCCAGTTTGAGTAACTCTGCATGATCCCTGGGCAGTGCAGGAGGCCTGTCGAGAGAGCACCAGTGCAGGTGCGATGCCCAACTTCTGCTAAGATTCAGACTGAGAAAGAAGATTGACCAAAACCGCTTCCTATTATGGGCATCCCGATGTTCAAAGGGACCATTGTCTTAACTTTTCCCCTGAGGTCCTTGGGGTTTGACTGTGTGAGAGATGACCAGTCATTTGGTTGACTCTTCCCTCCCAGGGCTCCAAGAACTGATCCCCTTTGTGAAGCCAGCGCCCATTGACCAGGAGCCATCAAAGAAGCAGAAGAAGCAACATGAGGGCAGCAAAAAGAAAGCAGCGACAAGAGATGTCACCCTGGAAAACCGGCTGCAGAACATGGAGGTCACCGATGCCTGACATTCCTTCCTCCCGGCTGGCCAGGCTTCCTTTCTGTCTGCTGGGGTCTCTGAGGCTGCCCACGAGCAGGATGGCCTAGCACCTACTCATCACCCTGCCCATCTGACTGCATTGCTAAAGGAACAGTCTGCCATGCACAGTGCAGGGTTCCCGTCTCCTTGCATGGGAATGAGGTCCGCCACTGATGACTGACGAAACCATGTAATAAAGCATCTCTGGGGAGGGCGTCAGACTTCCTCAGTCTTCTCCCTGAGGCTTGAGCCTGTCTCTTGACAGTTCCTCCTGGAACCACACTCCTGCTTTCTCTTCCAAATATAAGGCAAGTCAGAGCTTCTCAGTTAGTAGGTGCAGCCAGGGTAACTGAGTAGGTTCACTAGGGGTAGATTTAGTAAAGGCTCAAAGGGGAAGTGAAAACCTGGAGCCTTAGACACACAAACTTGCAGGGCCTGATGCCATATAAATTTTTTCCTGCCTAAAAGAACAAGGTAGGTATAACGGAGAGAGCAGAATGGATAAAGCTTCCTGGCTCTTGTGTTCCCTAGGAGAGGTTCCACAGAAGGGAGGGATGCTGTGAGGCACTGAAGTGGGACTTGACTGAATCCTAGAGCTCAAAGCTTCAAAACTATGGGCCTTTTTAACAGCTGGCTTCGTGACAGCTCATTGCTGCAACTCCAAGAGCTCAGATAGCTGGCAGGCCAGAAGCGTGCAGGAAGAATGTTTAGTGCTTCCCAGGAGCTGCCTGTGTTGCCTTAATAACCATGTGCTTCCCCTTTCATCTGCAATCTGCAACCTTCAACTCTAATAACACCTTTATGTTAGTCTAAGGCTTCTGTCCTAGCAGGTTCAAGTACTTCCGCCAGGTGATCCCTTTTATCTTTGTGATGGTCCCAGAAGCTAGGGTGGGGACATGATTATACCTGTTCCAGTATAGAAGGCAAAAAGAGAGGGGACATAGAAGCGTGGCCAGGTAGAAGTCCTGGCTCTGCAGCGGCGCTTTGTGTTTGTTATTTCTTTGGGAGGTTGAGAGAGGGAATATAACCGAGTTTATCATTTAGGAGCCACCAGCTCATTTCAGCTTCCTCAGTCCCTGCGTAACAACTTTCCTGGGTCTGCCGGAGCTGGCACTAAGGAAAGAGGCCAGTTTTCCACTGGGGGCTGATCCTGTTCATCTTGTGCCCAGATACCTGATCGAAACTGGGGCAACCAAAAAGGTGGCCACATAGCTCTCTTGCTTCCCTGCAGTGGGACCCACAAACAGCCTCTGCTTCTCAGCTCTTGGATTACAAAGCCAGAGTGGGGGCAAAAGAGCAAGCTGCTCCAGTTTGCGTTTCAGAACAAATTCACATTCAACCATCTGAAGAAAGCCAGCCTATAGGAGAGCAGGAGGCTATTTTTGCTCCACTCCCCCTCCATTTTAGAAGCCCGTTAGAGACTTGCAGGTATCCTGAACACTCCTAGTTCTTAGCCGTAGCATAGGAGGTCTTCACAGTTTCTCTCTTTGACTCCTCAGATCTGGCTCTTTGTGCTTGGGACCTTCCTATCAGCCCAAAGCTTTGCTTTCCTCCAGGGACCAGATATCTCTGGGAAGGCAGAAGCTGGTGGTTCTGAGCCTCTGGGCACCTGGTCCCAGCTCTTGCCTCCACTTCGTGCCAGCATGCTAACCTCACCTGGCCAGTTTATTGGGGCAGGCCGCACTTGGAGCCTGGACACAGCACCTTTGTACAGAGATAGCCTCCTATTGAGTAGCCGTGCCAGCTACATTTGTCTGCCCTGTGCAGGTTCCTTGTGTGGACCAACTTGTCTTAGCAGAACATAACCGCCCTGCTGCCTGAAGCCAGAGCAGAAGAAACTAGCTAATAGTCATTAAGGCCACAATGACATGGCTAAGGTTCCTTGCAGGTCATACACAGAATGTACTGAGCTAGGCGAGGTGGTGCATGCCTCTAATCCCAGCTACTCAGGAGGCTGGCAAAGGAGGATCAGAAGTTGGAGGACAGCCTGGACAACTTAGTGAACCTCTGTCTCAAAAAAATAATAAAGGCTGGGACTGTAGCTTGGGTACAGCACCTGTAGGTTCAATCCCCAGTACTCGGAAGAAAACAAAACAAAAAACTACACATGGGCAGGTGGGCATGCAGTCATTAATTGAGTGCTGACCCAGAGCCAGACACCTCTGGGAGCAAGTTTTACAACCCAGAAAGAATGGGCTACAGTCTCTGCTGTGAAAGAACTCAAGTCTATCGGGAAGGGTGTGGCTCACCTTCCAGAATGAGCTGAAAACCAGACTCCTCTCCCAGAAGCTGCGGCTTGGGGCTGATGCAAGCCTTGTTTAGCATAGGCTGACCCACCTGGAAGCTGAGTGGCTAGGAACAGACCCAAGTAACCTTAACTCCACCCTGGGTTTGCCTTCACAACTCTCAGCTGATACCCTCATCCCTGGCACCTTGACCTGCCCATCTCCAACCTCAGCTATCCAGGTTACCTCAGCAAACACCCAGAGGCCCTGCAGAGTGAGTCAGAGCCCTGGGTCCCTTACAAACCCTTGGTTCCCACACCCAGGAATTCAGGGCCCAAGACATTTGTCTGAGTGCTTCAGGCAAGAGGAGATCCTAGCAACCTGCTATGTGGTATCTGGCCTCTACCACAGGACAGATACCTTGAAGCTAGGCTTCACAAAACGAATTCTCAAACTGAATGGGGACCAGTGAGTTTTGGGGCCTCCCTGAGTTCATAGTCCGCTGGGCAGAGTTGCACCACATTACACTCCTAGGCTGAAACCTCTCTCCTGGGATCTGACTCACCCACAGTTGTCCTGTTTTTTGTCTGCGAAGCTTTTCCGGTTTACACCGGGTTGTGAGAACACCTCTTTCCCCAACCCCCATACCTCCCACGGGGGGCCTGGGGCAGCCCTGGCTGCTCTCCCAGGATCAGTCTGACAGGCAGAGCAGGGATGGGCCCCAGAGAAATGTGTTGCAAGTCCGAGCCTGTGCTAGAATGAGGGGCCTGCTCCTATTCCCCAGTCACTAGCCTGCCTGGGGTTCCCTAACAACTCCCAAATAGTCATGGCTTTCGGGCTATCCTTGCAACCACAACTGCCAGGCCCCGGCTGGGCCACCGCCTCTGACATTGCCCTTTTAAGACCCCCCCACACACCAAGGCGAGGGCACTGCAGGCAGGTTCTGACTGCAAGGTGCAGTTTCCCCTCGACCTGCCAGGAAAGAAGACCTAGGTGCCACTTCTCAACCTTCAGGTGGAGGTAGGGGTCTCAGGGACCTCTGAGGAAGCCCTTATCTAGAAGAAAGGTTCTCTCTGTAGCTGCTGTAATTGGCTGGTTCGCCAGCCCTGCATTTTGGAGTTCCTCCCTGACCCTGCTCTGATTTGGGCTTCATCCTCCGACCCAGACCCAGACCAACCCTAAGAATGGTCTGGGAAGTTATTTTTATTAAGGTGTAAATTACTGGTAACCTGGTGTGGCCCTTTTGGGAGACTTATCTGGTAAACGCTGGAGAAACTGAAGAATTAAGCTTTCGTTGAAACTAGCACTCATCCATTCCTCCCATCTTATCTCAGAGTGAAAAATAAATTAAAAAAAAAAAAAAAAACTCTTCCTTGAAAACCAGCGTTTGTGTGCTTGTGCCCTGGGCATGCCGCCATTCTGTGTCCCCTGAGCCCTTGGTCCTCACTGGCTGTCTCCTCTCCCCGTCAGTGCTCCGCCGCCACCCCTCCCCTCAGTGCCCACCGCATACACAGTCCCCCTCTTCCTGCAGCACCTGAGACCTCCCTCTTCTGTCACGTAACCATCCCCATCTGGCCCTTTCCCTCAGGGATTCATCTGCGGTGGGCACTCAGGGGCTCTGCGACCTCATCGGCAGGCATTGCCATTCCCACTCGGGACGGCCCCACGCCCTCAAAGGCAATGCAGAAGGTTCTGGAGGGAGCACCCTGGGATCCAGGTGAAGGCTTTCCACATGGCTGCAGTGCAGTTTAGGGCGGATTTGAATTGAGGCTGGAGAAGCAGGCAGGGAAAGGAGGTGGCACCTGACCTTAATGCTGGTTCCCTGGGAAACCACCCTCTCTTGCCTTTTATTCAAGTGCTCTTCTGCTACCATGTGCCGGGAACCCCAAGCTCACTTATCTGAGCATCTCAGCCACTCTGACAAGCACACTGAGCATCTTCACCAGGATGGCAAACCCAACAGGCCAAAGTCTAAGGCCTTATCTGATTCCTGACACCCCATCAGGATTCACCCCAAATATACACATGGAAGCCTTCTGGCCTCCTCTTCACTCCTAGGTCTGCCCCACAGTCTCACTGAGTCTTCCTCAGGGCATCTGCCCCAGACAGCCTGATCCTCAACCTCACTGCTATCTTGGCCCAGCCTCTCCTTTGGGCACAGCCTCTTGGTGCCAGAGTACAGAGTAGTCACTGGATGGCTCGGCCTGGTCCTTTCTCTCTGCAGAAACTCTTAAAAGTTTCTCAATTTAAAAGCCAAGACTTCTTAGCCAGAATCCATGTTCATCAAAATGTGGTCCCTGCTCAGACCTGTGGGAATTCTGCTCTGTTGGTCCCCACTGTACCACTGTAGTCCACCCGCCTTGGCGCCTCCTGCCTCTCAACACTGGCTATACTATCATGACCTTCATTATTTGCTCCTGTCCTCTCTGCCCTGATGCCTTTGCCTCCTATATATCTGGAACTCTTCCTCCCTCTTCAAGGTAGTTCAAGTGCCACCTCCTTTAAAAAGCCTTCCCTAACTCCTCCACCCCACATAAAAGTATTAATGACTATCGCCAGTGACAGCAGTTGTCTCTATTTTAGACTGGCTGCCCCTTGAAGCCAGAACTGGGGTCTCATTCATCTGTGTACCTCTCACGCCTGGCCACCCAGTCCTGTGACCAAAATATAGCTAGGGTCAGCAGGGACTCCCTCCTCGGCCTGCTCTGACAACCCTAACTAAGTTATTGCAGATATTGCTCTGGAATCTGCCACCTGCAGCTCAGCCCCATGGCCTGTCTATTCCCCTTTGGGTTCAAGGACCAAAAATTGTCTCATTTGGATCACAGGTGGACTCTACATCACCAGAGTGTGAGGCCTTTTAAGTTACTCGCTGGCACAGTGGGTTGAACTTATCAGTGGGATAAAGCATCAATGATATTTTTAATTGCGACAGTTGGGACATCAGACCTACTACTGGCTGGCACTAAGAATCCAGTTTGAGGTTCAAGAGAATGAGTTCAGAGCCTCCTGCAGAA